GCTGTATGTTGATACATGTTGGGACATGTCCATGAGTGCATAGTAGCCGCCAGCAGCACGCCTGTTGATTTAGTTGTTCATTCGTACTGACAGTGTAAAGTGCGGACTATGACATCGTGGTGACGTAGTGAGATACGGGCAGTTTTACGGTATAACTTTACGCGTGGTTTAAGCATACACCAGCGCTTAGAGGGAATGACGCTTGAATTAAAGAATGATTGTCCTCATCGTACGACTATAAGGCCGAGAACGTCAGTAACAGAGGAAAACATTACTGCTGTGAGGAAAATGCTTGACGAAGACCGGAGAGTGACATATCAACAGATAGAGAGACCTTACACCCTCATGCAGCACTATCAATTCATTCAATTCGGAATGACCACTTACACGTAAGGAAACTTTGTTTTCTCTGGGTACCGCATAGTCTGACGGAAGAGTAAAATACTCGTCGTATGACTTGGTGCCGAAAGATGCTGAAAATGTTTGATAAGGGGCAATCTCGGTATGTGAACAGCATTGTGACAGGTGACGAGACTTGACTCTATTATTACGACCAAGAGCAAAACAGTTTGGGTCTTAGATGCTAAAGACACACCCATACCTGTCAGAAAATACCGACCTGTTAAGAAAAAACAATGATAGCTGTATTTTTCAAATCGAGAGGGATTGTGGAGTGTGCCGTTTTGGACACACAGACGACAGTCATAGCTAAGTGGTACACGGAACAGTGCCTGCCTAAAGCCATAGAGTCTATGAAAAACCTGCGGCCAAAGTTAAGAATGGACACTTGGTACCTCCACCATGACAACGCTCCAACTCACCGCGCCAAAGCCTGCACCGTGTATTTGACTACTACTGGACTGAAACTTATTGAGCAAACTCATACAGTCCAGATCTTGCTCCCTGTGACTTTGCACTGGTTCCGCATATGAAAATCAAGCTAAAAGGCAAACGATTTTCTGGAAATGAGGACCTTCTGAGAGCAACAACGAATGTGCCGCACTCCCGGGTGAAACAGAGCTGGTTTCAGAACTGGTTTTGGCGGATGGAGAAGTGTATGTGGTGGAACTTACTTTTAACGAAGTCAATAAATAAAGCTGTATTGCAGAACTTTTATACTACCCTTTGTACTTACTACGTACTGGCTCGTGGATGCTTCAAGTTTCTCCTGCAGCTGTGGTAGTTGATTTGAATTGGGTTTTGTTTCTGCTGGCTCGAAAAAAGTTAAATTCAGACACAGCAATACCTGTGTCCCACGATTTTGCATTCAACAGGACTTCTTTAAGAGACTGGTGAGCTCCGATTTTGACAGAACTAAAAGTTGGTGTGGGATGCTTTGGATTAATTTTGTAGCGAATGAAGTCATCTCTCCTATATTTTTCATTGAGATGGTCCCTCAGCTCATCCGCGGTTAAATCCTTCTGAAAATTCGCTGGATGTTTCCATATTCGCTTAATAATGTGCACTGCAGAAAATGTTGGGTCAGCTGTTCCTATTATTGTAATTGGTTTTTTCATCTGCTGTTAATTTTTATGCCCAGGTTTAATTAACCCTGGTATGTTTGCAAGGTGTCCAAGCTATTCCACGGCTGATGTCATTAGGCATAAAAACGCTGCACCGCGTAATCGCCTTACGTTGGCTGATCGCGGCCAATGTCAAACTAGGTTAACGTTAACATTTACCTAAATAGGGATTATAAATATATTATTGTTGAAGTGTGGTCTACTGCCTGAATAGGTTTACACTCATACTGAAGTAGTACTTTCCGAACTCTGGCTTTTCGAAAATCGTGGGATAAAATAGTCTTAGAATGATCCAAGGTACTACCTCATAAATTTTTGCCCCATGTTTTGGAAACATTCACCACCTAGATCATTTAAAAACGAGCAAGATATACCTATAGCAATAGGGTTGATATGAAAAGAAAAAATGAATTGACAATGTAATTAAATGAGAAAGAATTTATTTAAAAGGATGTTAACATTTATTATAGGAGAGCATATAAGAGAGCAAAAGAAAATACAAGAATAACGCATAGTACTGCTAGTTGCATAGATAATATGTTCACAAATTTCGAAATTGAAAGTGCATCTGTTCTTTGCACTCATATTTCCGATCACACTACTCAGAAAATCAATTTCTTTGCAGTCCCAGTTACAACGTCAAATTACACGTATAAAAGAATTTCTTCAGAAGATAACAAACAATACTTTCTTGAATGTATAAAAAATGAGGATTAGATTGAGCTGGTGCAGGATATTGGAAATGTAAATGAGCAATGGATTGTATTCATGAATAATTTCATAGGTATATTTAATCAGTGTTTTCCTTTGAAACGATTTAGTGATAAGAGTCGTGTGAGGAAACATGAGTGTAATGAAGTGATTACAGAGTGCAAAAATAGACTGGAGATTCTGTTGACCCTATGTAGAGTAGATGGTGATTATAAGGAAATGTACAAGAACACAAAAAAAAATATGACTATTTGTTGCAGAAGGCCAAATCAGAAAGATACGATCAGAAAATCAGAATTTCGGACAATAAAAGTAAATCTATGTGGGCGATATGTCATGAAATCACAGGTCAAAACAATCATAAAGACATTCATATCAAAGGAGATCCAAATCTGATACCACAGCAGTATAATGAATATTTGTTATCAGCAAGTCCGCTTTTACTGAAAGATGTGACACAGGTACCTTTTGACTGCAATTTACAAGAAAACAACCAATCATTTTACTTAAGAACTTGATGAAGTGTGTGAACTGTCGAAGAGGATAAAAAATAAATTCAGCTGTGGGATAGATGATGTTCCAACAACAATAGTAAAACTTTCCATTCCAGTTTTAAAACATGTTTTGTGGTTACTTATTAATAATGCTTTTAGACAAGGATCATTCCCAGAGAATTCGAAAATAGCTGTTATAAAACCAATTTTTAAAAAAGGTAATCCAGAGCAATTGGAAAATTATAGGCCAATCAATATTTTAACAGGTTTTACAAAATTATTTGAGTTAGGCATCAGTAAGAGATTATTAGAATTCATGAATGACTGTAATTTATTTAATACACATCAGCATGGTTACCTACATGGGCGATCAACAGATACTGCAATCTTTCAATTTGTTCAAACAGTACTTAAGCAATCAGAGGAGGGAAACTTAGCGGTTGGTTTCTACCTGGAATTGTCCAAAGCTTATGATTGCATCAACAGAGACATATTGTTATTAAAGCTACAAAGATATGGTGTAAGAGGAACTGCGCTAGAATTGTTCAAGTCATACCTCTATAATAGACAACAGAGGGTTGAAATTGTTAAAGGTCAAACTTACAAGTCAAACATTGAGTTCACTTCAACCGGTATAGCACAGGGTAGTATACTTGGGCCCATTTTGTTTGTAGTTTTTTAAACGATCTCTGTTTTGTTACTAGTGGTGATCATAGCAAGGATAAAATTATCTGCTATGCTGATGACACAAATTTAGTGTTGGGTGGGACAAGTGTACAGGACCTAACTGCTAATGGGAATCTCTTATTCAGAAGTGTGAATACATGGTTTTCTGAGAACAAACTAGTGCTGAATAAATCCAAAACTGATGCAACATTATTTAGAACTAAGCAGAGTAACGTCGTTAAGCCACAATATATCGATATAGATGATCATCAACTGCAGTTGAGTGAAAGTGTAAAATTCTTAGGCATCTATATTGATGAATTTTTAGATTGGACAACACATGTATTCAAACTGCTGAAGAGGCTCAATTCCATTTGCTATGGTTTTAGGGTGATATCAAGATATCTAAATAATACAAGTATGAAAATATTGTACCATAATTTTGAAAGTGTTCTAAAGTATGGGATTATTTTTTGGGGATGCAATAGGTTTATTCAAAAAATGTTTGTTGTTCAAAAAAGAGCAGTACGTCTGCTAAAGGGACTAAATTTCAATGAAACTTGCAGGGGGGTGTTTAAAACTGAATAAATCATGACTGTGTATGCCATCTATGTGTATGAGTGTCTTATATTTTTTTTCAAAAATAAAAATTTATTTGAGCTTGAGGTGCAAACTGTTTATGATAAGTACTCGAACAGTCAATGTTACTTATCCAATACACAGATTATCCTCCACAGAAAAAAGCCCTATTTACATGTGTTTAAATTTTTTTAACAATCTACCAAATGAAATTAAAAACATAAACAGTTTACATAAATTTAAAAAGACTATTAAGCAATTTCAAGTACAGTCAGAGCCTTATACAATAGATGAGTTCTATGGGAGTTGTAATAGTATAAGATAGTAGCTGTTTTAAGATAAATAACCAAGTAACACAAAAAAAAGGTCTCAGGTAAACTAATATAGTTATGGTGACAGTGACGCAACATTTCATTTTGTAGTGGCTATACAATTTTTGTAATGTCATTGTACAATTTGGAATATAGATTATTATTATTATTATTATTATTAAAGTTGAAATCTTACTTTCCTATAATATAGCATTTTCCACTTAGACATAAATGCATTTTTTGTATCTGTGATAGACTGTTTTATATCCATTATTCAAGGATCGTTTTTCCCAATCTCTTGTATTTCAATAACGAACTATCAACGTTAGAGAATAAATGCCAAAAAGGGAATACAATTTTTGAAGACTAAACCGTCGCAGTAACGTACAATTATTTTATGCCCAGTAAATTGTTTACTATCATTCACAGTTTGCAAAAGAGAATTATGTTTGTTCAAATAGTGCTTGGTGCAGAAACTTTTTTCACAAACAGTACATCCAAACTGTTTATTTCCAGAATGAAACGCTATATGACTCTGGTATTTAAATTCACCATGTGACTTATATGAGCATATGTTGCAACAACTCATAAGTTGGAACAAAATCTTTCAAGTCGCTCTCGATTTTTCCAGTGCGACTTCGATATAACACGTTTAATACAGTCCTAAAATCATTATAATTGCAGCAATACATTTTACCATTTATAATCTTTTTCAGCGCTTCATCTTCGTCATGGTAATGGAGAATATATTCCTCAAAGTGATGGTTTCACTGCATTTGGACCAGAGAAACCGCATGTTATTCACATATTGTGCATTTATAGGTTGGGAAATGTACCATGTCTTTGTGTCACAACATATGTCTGTTTATCTTATTTTCATAATAGATCTATAATTGCATATATCACAAGAGTGTATTTTGCGGGTGACTGTATCAATAAAATGACGATGATGTGTTCTTGAAGATTATAATTTTGGGTAAATTTCTTTGTACAATGTTTGCATGAGAACCTTGGTCCTGAATGACTTGACATAAAACGAGCCAACACATTTTTGCGTTGAGAGGTGTATCCATGCTGAAACGAATGGGAGTATAACCTTGGTATAGGCGTATCAGTAAAATTGTGTCCACTATCAAAGAAAACTAGGTATAAACTTTAACCTCCATGTATCACTTAGCTAAACTCACTGCAATATTATGTTTTTCACAATCACAAGTCTCAGCTTTACTGAGAAAACGCTAGAAAGTTTTGTAGCATATAGGAAAACTGGTATAGATATACTCCAAGTAGTATGGAGACATCAAAATATCTAGAAAAACACGTTTTCTAGGGAAACGTTGCAGAACAAAGTTGTAAGGTATGGAACGTGTTGTCTAATGGTGATTTTGGTCATGACCTTAAAGATCAGTTGATGGTAAGACAGTTTTCTTTAATGGTCATTCCTATTTTTGCCACGGCAAGTGTAAAGAGTCGAAAATTGTACAAGTATGTTATGATTCTGAAAGCGATATATATTTCTAGTGTACTATCTATGACTTCAACGGTCTTATTAAGGTATCTGGATTTTAGGCTGACACACTTATCACCGTATCATCTGCAAATATTGAAACATGACTATCATTGATAATCCGGTAAATCAATGCTGTTGCACAAGAAAATGATTGGTCCCAGGATAGATCCTCGGGGGATACGAGGATGAATATCGTGCCGTTAAATGAGCTCCATTAATTGCATCCGACTATCATTTTCCTGCCAGTTAGGTAAGACTTGATCCAAAGTACCTTTGTCGCTATTGAGATTGTTATCCAAAAATACAGGATTCACCAAGCCTTAGTCAAGTCAGGTACAATGTGATCACTTGATTATTTGAGTTTAATTAATTGTTAATAAAATTCAATTGCTTTTTTGCATCTCCACCCATGCCGTTATTACAGAACAAACCATTTTGTACTCTATCTCTACTTTTGATCCAGGAAGTAAAAGTCGAAGAATTTCGCATCTAAGCTTGTATCTCATATGTTCACGTATGCTCTCGTCAATGACCTTGGCCATGACCTTTGAGGTCATTTGAAGCTCAAATTAATATTTAAGCAAGCCTCTGTGTATTGATATACTGATATCTGGATGGTGGAATGTTTCACTAGGTATTGCCAGCATCCTGGCTTCTGTGATAAACAAAAGATTGAGATGTCTAACCCAAAATAATAGATGATGACGCATTTTTAGGAATTACATGTAAAAGAATCTTCCATTTTGATACACATATAGCTACTTCATATTTCTATCCAACTTGTTACAACTTTGGCATAAGTCAGATTCCCTTAAACAAATATGCATATTCCTCTACTCTAGTAAAGTAGATAACTCGTAGACTTATGTTAGATGGCAACAAACACTATTTGAAAGTATCTAAGATACTTCACAAGGAAGTATCGCGTCAGCAAGAACTTCAATACAAGTGTATACCTTTGTACACATCACCATGTGAGTTACTTTTTTTTTGGTTTTTTACTTACATTCAAAAACATATCATTTTTATTATAATCCTATACTATATTTCCTCAACAAATATTATTAACATTCATGCTACATAATGTTATGAAGGATTACAAGTGCAGAAGTGTTTAGGTAACATTTATAGTCGACCTTTTAGGGCTAACTGCTGATTGATGATTAGACATCTAAAAATTTGGAATATTTTGAAACCCTGTGAAATGCAAATGATGAATCTTACTTGATGGTAGTTTATGGGTATATTATGGTTTATTTAAATAACAAAGGTTGGTCGACCTTCAATTGGCATTCAACTGTAAATGTTGGTCTTACCATAAGAAACCTTGACCATACTCCAATAATTGTGATGCAACTCACCCATTTTGTATAACTATTTTAGGCTTCCCCTCTTCAGCACTAGTGCATTGTTGTAATTTTGATTTTAGAAGCTCTTCAATTGACCTATCAACCTTAATTTTTATAACTAGTTTTGGCCCAAAAGTACATTCTACTTCATGTTTATCCCTTAGATGTAAGGTGTCATATTCATCAGCGCAATAGCAACAGCATCCATAGTCTATGTCTTCTTCACCAGCACAACTAAAAATAAATTAATAAGGCTTGATTTGAGTCTTAGGTCTATGTGTCAACTGTACAACTCATATTTATATGTCTAATAAAGACTCCGACGTAATGTATTTAAATGTGGCGTTTAGTAGGTTGGGTCGTGGGTAATAAAATACATTGGTCCAGAAGCAAATTTCAAAAATTTTGCGCTGTCTACATACTAATACATAAAATTAGAGCATTTTAATACTCCTAAGAACTTACACAATAGTATAATCCGCATCATCCAGCGGATCATGTTCAATTGTTTCATCTCGAATATGTGCTCCAATTATCATAGGTTTTGTTTCCATACTGTTTCATAGATGAGTCCGTTTAGCAAAATCTGGGAGTACCTAGCTTTGGAAGGTCCACATGCCACAAATAAATTAGAATATATTTTTATTGTTTTTCATATACATCCTGATAGAACATACTTTACTGAATGACCTTTTAATTTGCTTAATTTTCCAAATAAATAGAATAAAAGATTAGATAAACAACCGATATTTTTAAATTATTTTGGTAGGTTAGGAAAGCCAAGCCAAAAGATTAAGCTGGCCGTAGACCCCATGTTGGGTTTATTGTCACAGTCTTGCCCGACATTGCGGCGATTCTGTATGCCTGCACTACCATTCCAAACAAGCTCTGGAATGTGTTCATATTAAACATATGGCGCATGGGCGCAAGCACATCACCAGGTGTACCGCACTTCTTTAAATTGTTCAGCTGGCCACTGGCTAAAAACAGAGCCGGATTAATCATTAAGCTGAGTAGGCAACTACCTAGGGACCGCGCATTGACTACATACACCAAGAAAAATAAATAAAACGTTCCATGGAACAAACATTCTGTTTGAAAATTTGTATCCGTATTATATAATATTGCTTTTTTAGACGGTGATGAATGTCGATGAAATATGTAATTCATACGTAAGTACCTAATAGTTGAATTAATATAATAATATGTACCTGTATTTGACGATATAATTGCATTGTGATTATAAAAATATATTTTTTTTAATTAAGAAAACGACAAAGGAACGGGGCTCCGAGAACTGCATTGCTTGCAGTCCCTGACAGGGCTAATCCGGCTCTCGATAAACATTATATACGTTCTTCAAGTTTAGTACAAAATCCCCGTACATGCAACTTTTTACACATTTCAGGGAGATACTATAGGTGCATTTTAATTGACATATACGGTAGTATTATTTGTGTTTTTTGGAACAAATGTCTCTTATTAGGTTTGTTTTCAAAAAGGTACTTCAAACTATGAGTTGTACCTAATAGAATAAAGAACCTTTGTATGATGATGTTTGATGAATATTTATTAATAATCACATGCTGCAAATCATTTTTACGTCTTTTTTGTTATAACTACAGGAACAAAAAGTTAGCTTTTGTTCCTGTTGTTTGAAATTACTGTTAGCCACGTTCAGTTTCACCCCCACATACAATCAACCCCTACCTGGAAAATTGTTTCCCTCAAAATCTGCTTCTCTGTCCGACGCTTAGTCCGATAAATTATGCGTCTAATATGAACACATTCCTGGTTTTACAAAGTCGAGCCTGTTTAGGTTGTCAGGTGTTACTCGTTTAAAAATGTACAGTGGCCATGTTTAGGCCTAGCTAATCGTTTAGATAGCTACCGTGTTCTATGCGTGGCTATGCGCCTACGAGTTTACGGTGTAAACATGGACTAACGCCCATATGATCACGGTCTTGACCCTTTTGTGATTTGTGGCTTGTGGCGTGACATTGACAGTTAACGGTATAAGTTAACCTCTACTCCTCTACTTGCATTTGTTGATTTGTTATTATTTTACCAATGAATTTTACTTATATCTTATTTGTGGAAGCAGAATTCCAATAACTAAGCAAGCAAATTGGTGAAAATATGATCAAATACATCAAGATGGGCAAGATATGACAAAAAAATGCAGCTAAGCTATTATAGATGCAACATAATATTGGATTGTTCATAGTGTCATTTTCACGAAGGCTCTATTCTATTTTTTAGAGCAAAAATGGGAATATCATTATTATTATCATTAAGTTAAAGATAGTCTTTACCATGGAAGGGAGCAATCAGATGATACAAATCAAAAAGGAAACTGATGGTAGTGAACAAGAGAACAATGAAATTCTTATCAAAGTTGAGCCTGAATATGTATTCTCTAGATATTACAATGAGGATGGTGGAAGGCAAGTATAGAAATAAAAATAAGTGGGTTCCATATATGGTTCCTTATACAGGGTGACTTCGAAGTTGAGTCATTTATTTTAACAGTGAGTAGATCTGATCAAAAGAAACGTTTTTTTCCTTTAACATTTTTCTTTTTTTTTCTCATGTTTGGCGACAACGGATATAATCCGCATGGGTTCATCGATGTTTTTAGTTGGATTCAGTCGGTAACGCGTGAGTGAATAGTGGTGTTTGTTGCGTGGCTCAAACGAAATAAAAAATGGCACATGTTTACGAAAATGCTGAACTTGTGGACATGATTCTTATTTACGGGGGGGGAGTCTTTACAAAATAGGTTTCCCAATCGAGTGCAACCAACCCCACGTGCCTTTGTTAATGTAGTACAAAGGGCTCGTGAATCAGGTGACTTAAGACCTCACAGGGGATGCCGGTGCTCCAAGACTGCACAATCAAATACAGGTCCGCACTGAAATACTTGTCGGGAGGATACTTTATAAAACAAGGTAACATTTTTTTTAATTTTTTTTTTATTTTTACACACATATTTTGGTTTATCTTCCTTCTACAATCACTATCTGAAAATTAATGACTCAACTTCAAAGTCACCCTGTATAGAGTAATATTATGAAACAACTTGAACAAACCAGAATTTTAACAGAGTTGCAGATACTAAAACTAAGCATTCCAGCTGTTTTCACAGTGCTTCAAAATACACTGCTCTTTATTATTTTGTAGAATTCACATATCTTTTTCATAAAACAAAAATCAATTAGGATATGTTCTAGGACATACAATAGGAGATTCAAGGAAGATGAAGATTCAGCCACAGGGGAAATAGATGACAGAGATAATAAATCAAATATTGATGATGTATCTATAAAAACAGAAGATAATGATAGTAGTAGTAATACAGATGATAATGTAAATAATGAGGTAAATGACCAAGCTGAATGTAGTGGCAAGTTTGAAGAACAAATAGTAGCATGGGATAACAAGAAAGAAGAATATGTTTACATCAACCCTGCTTCTGCTTCTAAGCTATTTATATCAAAACCTAGAAAACCATCCAAAAGGTAAGAATTTATTTGGTATTATTTAGTTGTAAAATTATATTTAAGCTTTAAACTTACTCAGTTATTTTTACCTCAGTAAACTAGCAGGAAAGGATAAGTTTTACTGTAATGTTAAGGGTTGTACCTTTTCTACTAGTCGTAAATCTCATATGTTGAGACATGAAGCAGTGCATGCAAGAGAAGCAAAAAGAAGGTATGTAAAAAAACAAAAATAATGTTTCTATCATCTAAATTACTATAATAATTAACTTCATATTTCAGTTCATATAAAATTTCAGCAATGTATTTGTAACAAACTCTTTACCATCTAAATTTCAGTTTTTTCACAGTTTTTGGCTCTGTCATCTTTCCTAAGGGAGATGGGTGTTTTATTTATTTCTTTATGATGATACAGCAAATTTCTCACATTCTTAGGAGTTGTTATGCTTTATATTTTGAAGATCAACAACAAAATTAATCTCAAATGAAATGCATGTGACAAGCAAGGTGTCATATTGACAGTGACAAGCATAAATGTGGAAGTTTCATACATGGCAAGATTTTCAGGGCAGTGAGACAGAACTAAAAAACTTATGTCTGTGAGCTTACTCAAATATCTGCACATAGAGACATGTTGCATATGTATGTGTGAGGAAGGTGGATGTACGAAAGTAATTCCTGTAGTTTTACTGTGACCTGCCAAAAACTGTAAAAAAACCTATAATTTATTGACATCCTGCATAGACAGAATAATGGAATGTGGTGATAGTTTTTATGTATTTGCCATAACATCTTCACCTAGTGAAAAAATATCCTTTTGCAGTAAAGAGCCAGATGATCAGAAGCGATATCAGTGTACAGAATGCTCATACTCAACCGATAATTCTTGTGATATCAAGAGACATGGTTTGGTGCATTCAAAAAGTGGAAGAGACAAATACACTTGCAAGCATTGTGGTTACGAATCATACCTAAAATACCACCTAGTCGCGCATGTGTCAAAAATGCATACATCCAATTACTCCACATTCACTTGTGATTACTGTCAAAAATCGTTTAAATCGAAGCAGTCATTGGATGACCACTTTATCAAATGTCATCCATCACTCAACTATCCATACACCAGCAAAATTCTTACATGTACCAACTGCATTTTCAAAACGGCGCTGAAACGTAGTTTAGTAAGACACATGCTTCTGAAACATCCAGTAGAAAACGCGCCAATGTATGAGTGCGAAACATGTGGACACAAAACAACTCTAGAAAGCAACCATGTCATGCATATGAGGAAGCATGCTGAGGTAAAACCGTTCGTTTGTGTCGGATGTGGCAAGGGTTTTCTGCTGAAACGCAGCTTAGACGAACATATTCTCCGTGTTCATGCTGAAGAAGAAGAAGCTATGAAAACGATGACATACAGAATTTTGCTTTGTGAACAGTGCGATTTTCGAACTGTTAAATCTGACGTGTTGAGTAAACATACAGTGAATTCACATCAGGCCGATGATCAGACGTAAAAGTTTCGACGCATATTTTCAAGTGTAAGACTTTCGTCTCTTCAGCCAACCTTGTCTGCAGTCTCATGATTATTGGCAGTCATGACCGCCTCTCAAACTTTTTGAAGAGTAGAAGTATATCTGCCAGCAAAACATTTCGATGAGCGAGGGTATCAACTTTTCTCAAGGGGGACAAATCTTAAAAATCCACAAAAATGTACACAAAACCGGATTCTCAGGCCACGGCCCCCCTGTCACCCCCTGCGGACACCCATTATCAGCATAATCCAGGGAGGAGGGAGTTCTCGAATCTCCCATGGGACACTGGAATTTTATTTTTGTGAGATAGTTGTCATAGTTTTTCACTGTTCTATCAATTTTGTTAATCTATTTGAGCTTAGGACGGCTGTTGTAAAAAGATGGTCAATAATGAAGAAATTATTTTTAAGTATGTCATTCTCCTACTTTGTTATTTGCCGTTTTGTCGAACGATGAAAAAATCTTGAATGCGTTATTCATTGTAGCTTGGTTATGGCTTTTCGAGATTATACATTCGAGAACGCCTCATCTCCAGGTTGGACAACGAACAAATTCGGAGATAAACAATATTAGGTATGAAGTTGAAATAGCCAAATCTAGTACATGCCACTCTGCTATTTGTATTTCCATATCATTAACTTGGAAATAAAGTAACAGGGTCCATAGATAGAGGAAGATAACTCAAATTAGATTATCACAGTTATGAATTTTTTGCATCCAAATATTTCATTTGACTCCCTACATCACTGGTCTTGTAATCGCGAAAATGTTGTGTGTTATTTGGATGTTACTTCACTCATTTCCGTCGGTCTGTCTGTTCATTAATCCTTGGCCCGTTTATAACTTCAGGAGTGCCACTTGAATTTTGATGAAATTTCCAAACAAGGTTGCGACTATGCTATGCTAAAGCTTTTTGTAGTTTTTCTCAAAAACAAAAAAAAATCGCTTAAACTTCTTTTTTGACGTTTCATAGGGTCCTGATGATTTTCAGAAAACAAATTGTTGGGGTTGAAATTCGGGGGATAGAGGTTGCAGGGGGTGGGGGAGGGTATATGAAAATTGTTTGATCTTAGTATATGTATACACTCATAACCCTGGTAATTGTTTGCACATATTACACATCATAGATTTCCCTGCTCATTCGCCTTCAAAGCTTGGAATGATAGAGAAATGTTCTCAATCCGCGGGCTCCTTTTACCTAGATCTATCCATACTGCAGCGCAAAAAACGCGCTGGGTGCTGTCGTACTGATGTGGAAAGTGACATCGTTGCCAGATGGACGGTAACTACCAGTAGGGATGTCTATGGACTAATTGTATGGGCCTGTGTGACTGGCTTAATCCGTTTAATTCCTCTGTTGCACATGTTCGTAACTGACTTTTTTCTCAGAGGATTTAAATTGCGTTGAACTTCAAATCCTCTATGAACTGATGACGGCGTTGCGTAGGAAGTGCAGAGCCAACCTACTTGACGCCATTTTTTATATATGTTTTATGTCTCAGTGTATTTTATTTCAAGTAGTTAGTGTTCTGACCGTACGCTCATATAATAATAGTTACATATTCTCAAATGGATGCACAAGAATGCCATTGCGAATTTTGGGTTTTCAGAAAACAATGAATTACTAAAATAAAAGGAAGACGGTTTCAAATACATACATTCTGAAATTAGTCAATGCCAAAATTTCATAGATTCAATCAACTCGAAATCTGGGCCGATAAACCTGCCAGTGGATCTTGATCTTTTGTCGTGTATACTGCAAATATACTAAGTGACATATAAATTCGAACACCCAGTTTAAATGGTTTTATTTTAATAAAATTTTGTATAAGTACTTAATGAAGCATAATAAGTAAATGATAAAAATTTCAAAATGATTGCACTGCTTTAAAGCCCTTTGACCTTTAATAATGTGTGGATGCACCCTGATGTGCTACGCATTCTCCAACGCGCCTAGGCATGCTTCTGATCAGGTGGTCAATGCCCTCCTGTGGTATCTCATTCCAGGCAACCACCAACTCCTCTCGAAGTGCTTCTAGAGTCTGAGGAGGACTCTGCAAATTGAGCAATCTCCTACCCATCATATCCCACACGTGCTCAATTGGGGATAAGTCGGGAGATCTTGGTGGCCATGGTAACAATGTGACATCATTATGTTGAAAGAAGTCTATTGTGACTCTTGCAACATGTGGTCGGGCATTATCTTGTTGGAAAGTTGGATCTGCCAGGGTGTCAAGATAGGGTAAAAGATTGGGTTCTAGAACTTCGTGGATATAACGCTGCGCGTTCATGTTACCTCTGATGAAGATTAAAGGTGACCTGGAACCATAAACTATAGCACCCCAAACCATAACTCCAACAGTGTGATGAACATGTCTTTCAACAAAAAACTGTGGATTCCTCCTTTCACCACGTCGCCTTCTAACCCTGGCACGACCATCGTGCATGCCTAAACAAAATCGAGACTCGTCACTAAAGACAATACTGTTCCATTCCTGATCCCAGAGTGACCGTTGTCTGCACCACTCAAGGCGATTACGTCGGTGTTCTCGAGTTAAAGGGAGGACCCAGTGTGGCCGGTATGAAAACAAGCCAAAACTTCTCATACGTCGGTAAACACTTCGCATGCCAATAGGTCTTCCGTGTTCTGCAAACCATTCATTTGCAATGGACCTGGTAGTGGAGAAACGGTCCCATAAGGCCAATAATCTTAGGCGGCGATGTTCACGGTCTGTTGTTCTACGGCGGCGTCCAGTGCCCCTTGCTCTTTGCGTACGGCCTTCTCGAAGCCATGCCTAACAACACCTAACCACAGTGTCTACACTTCTTTGCACTCTAACTGCAATTGCCCGAAAAGAAAGTCCAGCTTCCCGAAGTCCCACTATACGGCCCCTATCAAACTCACTAAGTTGACGAAATCGTACAGGTCTCCGTACTCTAGGCATCGTAACCGATCGTAAAGGATGTCAAGAACCAAAATTCGCCAACGTTGATTCTTTACTGCGGCTGAAATATTCATTTTTAGAGCGTTAGTGAATTAAAAAAAAGCATTATAAAAACCGGAATGTCCAACTGATAAGGCTGAAATTTTTTTCACTTGTTATTTACAGTAAGATAAATACATTCACCAACTTTTATTAAAATAAACCCATTTAAACTGGGTGTTCGGATTTATATGTCACTTAGTAAATGATTACGTCATATTATCGCTAACCTAAGGCAGAGCTTTTGTTTTCATAATACCATTGAAGTGGGAAGAACGCCTTGTCCGTTGCTACTTTACTTAATTCCGTCAAAATAATGTCACGCGATATGCTTATTGTTGTATAGTGCTGCTGTGCGCCTTAACGACATGAGTGGCGTACGCCACCTGGTTGGGCGTGTTTTATTGTGCAAGGGGTTATATTTTATGACAATTAGCAAGTTATGTATTTTTATATTTTTCACCAGTTCTTATTTATTTGCTAATAGAATTTGAAAATCTAACTGGAGTAAAGTTTACGAAGACATAAATAATGTGTGTTTCAGATGTCACTGTTCACCGGATATGTTTAGTGGTATGAGGGACATTGTTATTTTATATAATTTTGTTATTTACTACTTAGCTTCTTAGATAAAATCAACCTTTATGTAATTAATGTACTTATATCTACGAACATATATATTTACTTAAGCATGTAAAATAATCTTTATTTTTGAGACCTCTATGAAATTTGAATCCATACTTCATCCAGAGACGGATCCATTTCCTGCTGAGATTCGACCTATTTTCAGCAAATAATGGCAACATAGACTTAATATTATTACACTGCAAATTATACTAATAAAACGAATATATTATATGTTATTTGTATAACATTTTATTAAATGAAGTTGAATTATTAGAGAAATTGTTTTTATCTATATAATCATCTATATCTCTTATCTGTTCTGCATCTTTACCTTTTTCCAGCTTTTCCACTGGTCTAAGGTCTGATTTCTGGTTTTCTATGCAAGACTGTTTACACAAATTGGGAGCCTGGCTTAAGGTCAAAAGTCCGACATATCTCTCTGATAAAGGATATTATGACGAATAACTACTACTGCACTGTACAAGCATTAGACAAAGTCAGTTGACGTACGTTAACCCTTTTATGATTATGTATTTCACAGTAAATTTCGGTTATTGAACATGATTAACATATATGAAATTTAAACATTAGGGTCTAATATTTCACATAAAATAATTTTGAACTTACAAAAAGTATAAGGACATCATAAAAAAATCTAATTTTTGAATTCGTGTCTGGTTTTTATTCTTTTATTATTAAATCATGTATGTAAATTAGAAAACAGACTATATTGTTATGATTTATATCCATTTGCATTAAATTACCTAATTATTATTAGTCAAAATGATGAAATTATGAAGGAATCAAAGATTCTTATTTCATTTGTACGCTGAAATTTCAAGTATAATAACTAGTATTTGATTCTGAACTATTCAGATATGGACGCTAGTGTCTTAAACAGTCATTCTGGATCATTTGAGTGCGCGTCAAATAAAATAACAGCTCTTTGTGCCCTCTGTTGTGTTCTATGTGTACTAGAACTGTCAAATTTTCCCATCATTATTTACTAGCACAAAACCGATTTTGATTGCTGAAAATGGCTAGAAAAAAGGAAATTTCACTTGAAAAACGTTCACAAATACATATTTTGAGAAAAGTGGGTATAACAATTCGTGAAATTGCAAATATTGTGGGTGTTTCAAAGTGTAGAGTGAGCGTTTTGCTGAAAACAACTCGAGTATTAATATAAAACGCTTTGACCGACCAAAAAAAAAACAATCCAAGCTGATGATAAACACATTTTATTGATGAGCAAACAAAATTGGTTCAAAACAGCACCAGACATCAATCAACAAAACCCTGACTAACCCAATTTCGGTGGATACTGTCAAACGTCCTTTGCGAGAAAAGGGTTATTTTGGTCGCGTTGCTGTGAAAAAAAAAAACACTTCTACCACCACAAAACAAGCGGAAAATATTATTGTTTGCTCGAAAATTAAAGATTGATCAGTTGATCACTGGAAGTCTGTGTTATGGGCCGATGAATCAAAGTTCGAGATTTTTGGATCTAGGCGACGCCTGTATGTTCGTCGAAATAAAGTTGAGCGGTATAATCCCCAATGTATTGCACCAACTGTTAAACATGGTGGAGGCTCGGTGATGGTCTGGGGGTGTTTTGGCTACGATGGTGTTTTTAAAACTGGTCAAAGTCGAAGGAATAATACGGAAGGAACACTATCACAATATTCTTCAACGAAGTGCCATTCCATCTGGCATTGGTTTGATCGGCAACGGATTTATCTTTCAATAAGACAAAGATCCCAAGCACACCTCCCATCTGTGCATGAACTATCTGAGGTCCAAGGTAGAGGACGGTGTGATCAAAATTATGGATTGTCCGCCGCAATCCCCTGGCGTCAATCCGATCGAATTATTATGGGATGAGCTCGACCGGCAGGTGAAAAATGTGCACGTGACCATCGAAAAACAGTTGTTCGACAGACTAAATGTGGCTTGGGACAATATCGCAACTGAATCACTCCAAAAATTGGTCAGATGTCTTCCAAGAATATGGGATGCAATCATCAAGGCATGAGGTGGACATATTGATGATCAAAACTTAATTTGACTTGACATCTTTATAAGAAATTTGGATGTAATAAACATGAATCATGACAAAAGTCTTTCGTTCTAGTTTATATACAAGATATGATCACAAAATCATGTTTGAGACAATAAAAACCAATCACAAACTCAAAAAATCGATTTTTCCTATGGTGTCCTTATACTTTTGCACGGTAGTGTACACAGTAGAGCATCAATATTTTTTACAATGATTGCAAGGGACTCCAGGTAGGTATGAAATGAAACAATCGAAACAAGTTAAAAATTCTATTGGCTTTCATTAAAACACAAATGCTGACCTAACATTTTGATTGGACAAGAAAAACCAGTTTAACCATATTCACAATCAATATATTAAATAGCAACACGCAAGACGACATATCCAAGTTTATTTGTAAACTAGCTTTGGATTTTGCTTTTTAAAAAATTAATTTTGTGGCTCACGCTGCGGCTGTTTTTCTGTTCAATCATACTTTATGTCGATGCAATCGAAATGTCAGTAAATTTTTTTATAACAATTGAAACCACATATAGGTATGACTTTTTACTATCCTTTCGCCATCGGTGGCCTTCTTCAAACTACAAAAAAGACTTAGACATATTGTATATATGTTTTCTATATCTAGACAAAAAAATGAAAGGTTAGTAAAGTGTCGTTCATATATATGTGGTTTCGTTTGGCCAGAAAAACATGGAGTTATATGAGTAAAGTTTATTTATTTGTGATTTTGATTATCTGCTATAGTTGATGGATTAGGTCGTAGTGCTAATAAACTATTGAAGATTTTATGACTCGAAGGTTTTTATTATTGAGCCACGCCTTTTGTACTCTAGCCAAAAAGTGATTTATTTCGCTCAGTATTCTCTAGCACATATAATAAAAATAAATACCAGTCTTTTCAATATAAGTAACCCTGCTTGTATTCAAAAACATTTTCTTCTTGGAAAATTCGATTATGTACAATGCATTATGTGATACGCTACATATAACGAAACTGTACATTTTATTTTTTATTCGTTTGAATTTAGCTATTAAGACCGCCTGTCGCGATACGAAATTTTATAATTAATTCTGTAACAAATTTATTTTGACCGGATTTAGTCATCATTTTTCCTGTCTCTCACAGACAAATTTTGCAATAAATTTTTTATGAAAAAAGCATGCGTATTCCGGCAAAAGAAGGCTAAATTTCCGACACATCTATTCTAAACATACTTCATTGAGGTTTCGGCCAGATATGTTCTTTCCGTTTTGCGGTTAGCTCAGTGGTTTTTCTTATCACTCTTACCGGTTGCTAATATCCGTTTTACACTCAGCAAGAGAATTGTTGATCAGATCGTAGTCCATTTACGCTCAGACAAAACAACACATGCCCAACAGCGACATTGTACAGGTCCGTATTTTCATCAATGGTCTTGGAATAATCTAACAAAATAAATTATTATTTTCATATAAAGAAGTGCACTTACTTTTCACAATTCTTTATTCGCTGGAAGTACTTGGATCGTCGTCCGAATAGTTAATATTATTTATTTCAGGTTCAATTTGAATATCAATGATATTGTCCAGATTCCACATCTCTTGAACGTGACGGATGCAATCTTTCCCATGGTTTGCCGTCACTCTGTTGACAGCTTCATAAATCAAATTTTTTACGTCAGGAAATTTGAATATTCTACTGTTTGAAGCCACATAGTTTTTTATATTTGCCCAAATCATCTCAATGGGATTTAGTTTGCAGTGACAAGAGGTTGCCTTAAAACGGTCTTATTTTGGTTTTTAGCCATTTCGTCAATAACATTAAGAATATATTTATATTTGTGCTGCCTGACTAGATGGATAAGTTCTGCCTTGACCATTTCCATTGAAACTAATGTCTTTTAATAGGGGTTATTGTTGAATTTTTGTCGTTCTTGTGGACATGGTGGGATTTTTTTTCTAGTTTGCTAGTGTTGTATGCAGCATTATCAGGTACAATAACGGCATTGTCGTCAAGCTTTGGGAGCGTTTCTTCAAACCATCGTTCAAATGAACTCGCGTCCATTTCTTCATGGTAGTAGGTCTTTTTTTTTACTCAAATGCCCATAGGCCAGTGGGCACAAAGCCAGCTTCTTTGCCAATGTTTGGATAACAAATCGTTTTCTTTCCTATTTCATATAGTATTCAAGAAAGCTAATAATAATACAAGCAGAGTATCTAACTGGTGTTGGTTCCAAATGTACCAGATCTAGCTAAGTTTTAAGCATTCACCATTTTTGCAAAACAAATGACGAATTGATTAGATACACATACTTGACGGATTCTTTAGGCCAGCGGTTAGTCCATCTAAGAAGGCTAGTCTTGCTGATTTGATTGTAGAGTCAGCCCATACTGTAGGTTTTGTATGTCCTGTATTTATCCAGGTTTCATCCAAGTAATAAATCTTCCTGCTCTGGACGTGGTATTTCTTTATCCATTTTCAATAATTTCTTCTCCATAAAATAATCTCTTGGCTGTCCGTCAAAATACCATTTCTGCCCCGTTTTCTATACTTGAAATGAAGTTCTTTTAGGAAACTATAGAATGTGGTTCTTTTGAAAGTAGGTAAGACTTCATCACTATTAACCTCCTGTAATACTTTGTCTATGGTGGGAAGTTCCTGCCTTTAAAAAAAGCTTTGTGTAATGCAGCCTCTTGAGTGGTGGAGACAATTTTTTGTTTTTTTTTACATTCTTTAACAATGTTGAAAATTGTCTTAGGACATAAGCCTGTTTTGTTTGCCACACGTCTTTCAATATCATGAATTTTCATTTCAGGATGCTCTAAAATTTCGCTCTTATAAACGTTAAGGACAATTTCTTTTGCCTGAATATTCAAATGTCCTTCTTGCCACGTTTTCGGGGAGTAGACATCACTGAAGAGGAAGCATGGCTGAAGGAAGCATTGGGATAAATATTCTTAGTTTAATCTGCTGTATCCGTGGACGACATGCTAACGTATAAACCCACGCTATGTGTGCTGAGTTGTATCTTGTCATATCCTGCACTGGTTCATAGTTTTATGGCCGAATAGCTCTTGCAACGCTTGGGCGGCTGCTGCTTTGCCGCGCTGCATCTTTGTTGTGCCGAGGCGTAAATGGACTACGAACACGAACACGTGCACACAACCACACGTCACAGGTTTTTGAGAGCATGTTTGCCTGAAAACTGATTCTTATTTATTGAAACGTGTACAAAGAGCATAGGTACTGGTTGCTCTTTAACTCTTTTGGAAACTACTTTTTCCATTCTTGATTTTAAGTTATGAACATTTTTGTTTTACCCCTGAACTTGAAAGCTGATCACCTGGCATTTCAATTAAGTATTTAATTACCTAAAACAGAGCTTTGGTTTACTTATTGCTTATCCGGTGATGACGGTGATCTACCAAAACCAATACAGAGAATGCGGAGCAAAGGATATGGGAAAATAATTATTATAGACAAACCGAATCTACGTCCCTCGTGTGCCCGACTCCCTAAGTATACGTATATGAATGAATGGTAATGACCACAAAGTTACATGGAGTAGGTACGACATAGAATTTATTTTTTCAGCTTTATTTTTAGTTTCAGCTCTGTTTCGCTAAAAACTGTAAATATCTGAATTATCTTACAAAAACGTGGAAAATGAAGACGTAAATAAGACCCCATTTCGATAGAAGTACCGAAAATTCTGTAGGTTCGGCAACACTGATCTTGCATGCAAATCAATTGGCTGGATTTTTCATGCAATTTTGTCTGGTGGAATAGTTAATAACTTGCATGCAAATGTCTCTAGGCCGGTCCGGTGGTTTGTGTGATGGTGTGGTTATATTTAATTGTTTACAGATAATTAATCATACGTTTGATTGTGTTTTGATGTTGGGTGGTCGGCAATCGAAACGAGGGTAATGGCACACTTAACCACGTATTTAGGGGTTATGGCATATATATATGTAATTCTACACAAAAAATCTTGGATGGAGCACTTTTTATATGGGAATTTGTTTTTACAAAATATCAGTACCGACAAATCGATAAACTAAAATATAATTGTGTAAAATTAACAAAAATAGGTAAATGAATAAACTTAAACAATATTTTCCGAAATAACAAATAAATAATCAAAAACAAATAATAAAAACAGTAACTTAAACGATATTTTCTAAAATAACATAATCAAGATCAAATGAATTAAAAATATAATGCGAGCTGTAAAAATTCGCATTCATTCCGTCCTGTGATCGATAATCGATATTGTATGGTCTGTTCTCCAACTAGAAACTCTTTGTTGGGTATTAAAACCGTGTTCTGAAAGGTAAAAAACCAAAATTATAGGTTATGGATGTGACAGGGAATATATAGGGTGGCCAATATATAACTGGCTGATTTAAATTGCGTGCCATTTTTGATACACGCATTTCAGTAGGTGGCGCCGTAGTAGTTGTTTGAAGCACATCTGTCCAATTCATCATGGAGCGCTACACGATCCCACAACACGTCCGTATTATTAAAATGTTTTACCTTAATAATGAGACGATTGTTGCAACGATTCGGAAGCTACGACAAGATTTCGGTCGAAATAATGTGCCCAGTATCAACACCATTCGTCAGTTGGTGCGGAAATTTGAACAAACTGAAGTTAAAGACTTTGTCAAGGTCGGGCCGTGTTCGAACTGTTCGTAGTCCGGAAAATATCGACAGAGTTCGTGAAAGTGTAGTGGAGTGCCCTGAGATGTCTACCAGACATCGTTCTTAAGAACTGGGTACTCATCGAACGTCATTATGCACTATTTATAAAAAAACTTGCATTTGCGGCCATAAAATGGAGATATCATTGGACCTTACTTCTTTGAAGACTCTGCAGGTAATTTTCTTACTGTCACTGGCGAGCGCTATCATGATACGGTGCAAAACTTTCTGGCTCCTCAAATCCAACATTTTAACCTGCAAAACATGTGGCTCAAGCAGGACGGAGCAACTTGTCACACAGCTAAGGAAGCAATAAATATTTTGCGATCAAAATTTCCGGGACGTTTAATTTCTCGATTTAATGGCTCCTGACTTTTATGGGGATTTTTGAAAAATAGGGTTTATGCCAATAAACCAAATACTGTAGAGTAAGTGCAGAACAATATTGCGGAAGCGATTGACAATATTCCTCCCGAACCTACCAAAAAGTGATGGGAAATGTAATCAAGAGGGCTTAGGTTTGCGCGGCTTCTAGAGGCGGACATTTGTCTGATATTATTTTTCATACATGATTTCTAAGTTTCAATAAAAGATTAAGACGGAAAAAATGGACTTATTTTATTTCATTTCAGAAACATTGAAGATACAAACCAGTCAGTTATATATCGGCCATCTTGTATATACCCTATTTCACGAGTATCCATCACGCTTTGACGTCTACTGAGGTGAACAGCTGATCAGCAAGTGACATTTTTGTGTTCGTCTGCAATGTTGTTTGTAGCGTTTTGTTTTTCCTATGCAAATGACATTTTTTTAAAATAAAAGAGTTTTAGCAAATACTAAATGAATCTTTAGCGCACAAAAAAAAAACAAAGAAAAAATGGCTCTGTCTACCTGGCTTGGACGGATCCGTCAGAATTCTGTGTCGTTTGCCGATATGGGGAATTTTGAATTATTACTAGATAATCAGCTGACATTCTATCGTAATGGGTACTCGTGAAAGAACCTATAAGTATTTTCTTCGTTTAGGTTGGCTAATCTTGCTCAGTGGAATCGAGGAAACAGGGCCGTTACTGCAGATGAACTATGCCGTCTTGCAATTGAGAACCTGCCAGCATTGGTACCTATTGCGGACTGTAAAACAGGTTTAAGTATTTTTTATCCCAAATCCAGTTTTCAAACAGAACACGTTCAAAAAATGTCTGCAATAAATTTGTTCATGCTTATTATGTACCTAGTTAAATGATGCCTGACACTGTTCTTAGGTTGGTGCAAAATTTACCATACCATATTCAGCGCAAAACTTCGTATCGTGCTAGACAGTACTATCTCAGGTTGCTATAAGAGGACGTCAAATTGACGTGTGTTTTCGAAATATCGGCCCGTTTAAAATCGGTTAATAAGTACAGCACCAAAGATATGCAGGATTCCTATGTTTACATACTTGGAAAACACATGGCTGAAAACTATTTCCAAATTACTGGTATGATGACCGTTGGGAAAACCTTAAATAGGATGTCAAGTGGAGCCTCCTATAGGTAGCAAAAGTAACCTTTTCCCGCTATTTCTTTCTCATATTATCTTGAAATTAGCCTCGATTTTGCGTACAAACACGAAAGAGAGCTTTTTTACTTAAACACAAAAATCTACGTAGATGTTAAAAGTAGAATATATAGCAAGTCAAAGCAGTTTTTAGTTTTCCATACCACTTCGTAAATTGTCGGCGCTGCACTTAAAGGTTGTTATTTTTTCTTACAGAATTTAGGTTTATTCTCACCAAAACTAATCTGAAAAAGAATCATCTTACTCACAAGAATGACTTTAGCCGTTTAGTTTAGTAATATTATTTTACAATAATTGTAACAAATTAATACTGTACAGAAAAAACTTTATACACTATTTGGATGGGTTCATTGGTGACACTCTGATATGGACATTGTTATGCCTCATTTTAGGAGTTTTCGTATAGTAATTTTTGAACATTTGGAAACAATACAATCTGAATACGTTACATCTATTACAATACATCCGTCTAATTGTAACTTTTTATTCGTATATGGGCGATGAAAGAGCGACGTTAAAATCCTGATTTAAATGCACATCGTCGACGACTTTAGACGCTCGTATTTGTTTTTCCGCCCTGAGTTTCTATATAAATTTTTGAAGACAAAAAATTGCATGATGTCGTCAGATAACCAATGAACCGATCTATCATTACCACTAACACCACATTTAAAACTTGTCCTTGAAATCACTCTACTTAACCATTATAAACTGTACAAGATACAACTATTAACAACTAGTCCTCAGTGTGACGCTTTCAGGCAAATCTCCGGCTATCTCTTCACTTAGTTCTTCAGGAATCTCCTGCAACACAGTCTTTGACACTCTTCTCAAGGTCACCACTTCCTCTTTGGCATCATCGCTGAGGAGGTAGGCGAGGTCTTGGTTGATGCTGTCCAAAACACCATTGAGACTGTCTTTGCTAGTTGAGGTAGATGGCTTCTGCAGGTCTGAGGGTGGGGGGACTATCTCTACAGTTACTTCCTGAAAACACGCAAAATGTTTTTTAAAATGTTATTAATGGAGTACTGTAATGTTTTTTTAGTAATGAGCTTGCTGATGTGTGGTACAGGAAATTTGAGGGAAGTACTTATTGCATACAACGCGTTGCCTACCGAGTTCACTCACTACTCTATAAATAATTTCAAAAAAGATTGAAGCATTTTATCTCTGATTTCATTGCCCAGTAAGTAGACCATGGCCATAAATAGGGACTCGTTGCAGGATTTGTTTAACTTTTTTGTTTTCATTGGGATTAGAAAATTTACACAAATATTTGTTGAAAAACCTTTTCAGTTCAACGCGTAGCTAGGCCACATCATATTATTAGTACAGGGTTTCGCATTTTAGTCGCTCCACCTAAATATTTGGAAAACCAGGCATTCTAGAAAAAAATTTAAATAAACATAGGGTTTCAGGAGGGCAAAATGATGGTGACCTTGAAAATAACCTTCAAGGTCAATTCAGGGTCAATATATTCCAATGGAACCCACCGCTTTTTACACTGGCATTGAAAACAGCAGAAAATTCCACGTCCGAGTATGTCCTTGACGTTGGCGACCTTCAAGGCCATTTCAAGCACAAATGAGGATATTGAAAACAACTCGCTGTAGTAGAAATATGCGACCACCTATTTACCAGGTTTGTAGGGTCAATGTCCTGGTCTATGCTTTCGAGGTCGAGCCGAAATTTTTCTAAGAAGTCCCTATTTATATTATAGCATGATAATTTGTGTTAGAATGTGATCAAGGTCATGACAAGGTTAAATGTTATTTATGAGGAAACCCCTGGATTTTTGTGCCAAAACTGTGTATCTAAGCGTGTAAAATATTGGCTTGACCATGGTCAAAGACATAGTCAAGGTCATCTTTGGGTGACCCCAACAAACCTCACAATTGAGCTATCCAACATTTTTGTTTGATCAAATTGTTTTGAACTTTTTGATTGAACTTTGGAATAGTCATAGCAATGAATTCTTCTATTCTTTACAGTTCCTGTGTATGAAAATTAAATGGACGTTCCATTTGAAAATATTCACTTGACCTTGAAATGACCTTGGAGGTGGTCAAGGCCCTGGTCAAGGTCGCAATCATTTTGTCCTTAGACACCCTGCAGCATTTGTTTAAAACTTTTTTCTAAGATGCGCAGTTTCCGAAATATTTTGGTGATGGGTATTTGAGAGTCTCTGATAGCCAGAACTTCTGTGTTGTCAATGATTTATGCGATTTATGTCGAAAGATTAATAAACGTGAACCCTCTGTCTGATATAGGTGATAAAAATTATTACTATCAGCAATGCAGTGCATACTAAACTCAATTCGTTTAGTTAGCAGAAGCCCTGAATATTTCTGAACAATAAATTGGGTGAATTATATGCGAAGTTAGGGAACTTTGTACGCGCTTGAGTACCTTATACATAAACTGACGCACAGAGCATAACAAGAGTTACCTGGTCCAAAAATGCTGATAATCTTTGAATCTTGAAGTGTTGCACTGAAAATTCAGTCATCTGAGGTAACTATGTGTTTTTGATGTTCTGGGTTTTCGAAAATGAAAACATGAAAATCAGGTCTGGTAGCAAAAATTGTGCTTGGTAAACAGATGAAGATAAGAATTGGTATATTGCATGCACAACTATTTGCAGCACTGAACAATTTAAAACCTAGACACTGCTGCGCATCGTCAACGCACCGCCGTCTCGTGCCCAGATAACTCAATAGTTTTTTAATGAATCTAGAATCCATATGTAACTACCTCTTATAGTCCTGACTTGGTGGCATGCAATTTTGGCTTTTTTGCGAAATAGCACAGATTTGCATCCGAATACCAGCTGGGAGACGTTACGTAATTCTAGAAGGAGCATGGGAGTGCAGGTTTGATGATTGATTCTTCCATAGGGTAGTATATTCAATATGGTGGGAATTATGTTAAAGAATTATAAATAGCTTTTTTATGTGACAAAACTTTCCGTGGTCTGGTTAGAAATGAAGAACAGCCAGGTTGTTAAAGGCATCTTATTATCATATTGTTTGAATTTCTTCTTCATACAGAATATCATTCATGGAAGACTTTAACTGGGAAAGTCGTCTTACCTATTTTAATTTTTGGAAATTTCCTATCATTATTTTAAGTGTTGTGGAGTCTTTGGGGCTACTCACCTTAGAGTGACGATCACTTTCGCCTTTACAACTTCCATTTAAAGTTTTTGCTGTTGCTTCATTCATGATGACTTCGTCACGACCATCTGGTTGCGTCCTTTCGTGACCCGAACTATTTTCGTTGCCTTGGACTATCACAGTTTCTGATTCTAAAATTTTCGCGATAGCATCGTCTGGTGTTATTATCACCTTTGGGGGATACATGGGTCTTTGTACTGGTTCTGTGTTGACCTATGGAAAAATAATAAAAAATTGCAATGGAAAATCCTGAGAAGTGGTATATACGTATATTCCTTAATACAATGCTTTAGAAGTATCTTTGAATCCTCGAAGTATTATTCCAAATTCACAAAAACATGGGAGAGAGTAGCATAACTTATCGCACGTCACTGCTAACGCGATGTCTCTTTGAGTACGTGTGCGTGGATCTTACGGTTCTTAAAGACTCACCGCGTCATCAGTGGCGTACGTTGCGTTACGCTACACTCTTTCATTTTGGTACTTGAGTTATAGACAAATAATTTAATAGGTTATTTTAATACCTCATCAGTTGCACAATTTGAATTTTTCAAGACGAATGACGAACAAACCAGTCTTAAACAACTATTTTTCACTTAATATGGCACTCACATTTCGAAAGGTTGAAATGAGTAAGTTTATTATTAAAAATGGTAAGGGCCCGAAAAACTGTTCATGACATAATATTATTTTAGCAAGGAATAGGGTTAGTGATGAGTAACTTAAGCAAAAGGAGTACATTAATCATATTTTTGTTACCTATTATTGAAAGTTACACTTAAAGATTGACTTATTAATTTAATTTTGCACGTTTTGGTATCTTTAAGGTATACTATATAAGGGAAACCCGGAAAGATCGGGAACACCCCGCGAAAATCGAATTTTCCGTCTTGTACCCACACAATGTCACGGCCATCCTGGAAAACTGCTCAGACCGGTATTCTATTAGACCTACCTTCTACCTATGATTCAACAAAAAATTGGTCTTTCAAGGTGTAGTACGTAGAATTCCTTTTTTATACAATGAATACGAACTGTTTTTTAAAATGTTTAGGGTATACCTAGAGGACGTTCTCAGTCGTACAAATGAGGAGGATTGAGTCAATGGTTTTCATAACAAACAAGTCAACTCCTCAGTGATTTCGGATAACGCGGATAAAGCAAAACGTAACCGTAACCATCTTCGTTTCCTCAGGTTACACCGGTATCCGGATGTATGGGCATGTGTATCTACTTTTGTGGTTGCATATGTCACCTATCCTATTTTCTGCTCGAATCCACTTTCCCTTTATATATATATTATGTTTTGTCACTCACCACATGTAAACTAGAAGCCACCAAGTCTAGACCAGCGCAGACCTTATTCGACAGGATATCAGGGCTCTGTGGATTAGTAAACTTCCTGAAGGACTGTGGACTATTACTATAACATTCTAAAGGAGTCTGCACACTTTCTCCAACTCCATCTAGCGGTGTGCTGCAGAAACTGGTTGAGGTGTGGAAACACCCTTCTTGACTCTCAGAGATGGCTTTCGGCTTCTTCAAGATGGGTTTCGGCATTTCTACTGTACGTAGGGTGAACTGTTGAGTATCTTTGATATCTGGGGTAGATTTGTTATCTACCTCGGCATCTTCTTTCGTCAGAACTATAGCAAAAACGTTGTGACGTCAGAACAAATCTGATCCCATGTTGGGTATTTTAAAAGCTTATGCGATAATACCAAGAAAATTGTGAAAACGGGCCTTGTATTTGGCCAAAGGCATTGATTGACGTATCACTTTTATCAGAATTTTCTAAGGTCATTGAGAGGACAGTCTATACAACTATTACTGACTTTGCTGTAAGATTCAACATCTTATCTGATGCCCAGCATGGTTTCAGGCAAAATAAGTCTGTGGAGACGGCTACCTCTAACCTTTTAAATTACGTATGTCTATGTTTGGATATATTACTAGAAAAACTACATTCTCTTGGTCTTAGAGGCATTATTTTAAACTGCATCAAATCACACTTATCCAACAGGAGTGTTATTGTAAAAACTGATAGATTAACGTGATTAACGTCCGATAGATACCCAGTCTACCTTGGTGTACAGCAAGGATCGGTGCTGGAACTGTTGTTATTTACATTTTTCATAAATGACCGTCCAAATTTCATTTCAAAAGGTAAAGTCACAATGTGTGCCCATGATACTACAAACACGGTTTCTTGCAGTTCGGTTGCAGAATTTTATAGGAATATCTTGATAGTTTTTGGTGTGATAGGAATGAGATGATATTAAATAAAAATAAAACTACTGCAATAAACTTTCACATTCTAAAAATTATTCCTTCAGTCACCACAACAGCTTTAAATATGAAAAATCTCTATTACCTCTTTACTATGCATTTGTATATAGCCACCTATCATATAATATGCTATGCTGGGGTAGAGCAACTGGCATAAACAAAATGTCTCACTGTACCTTGTATTTTTATATATAAATGAGTAAATCGTGTTAAACGTAACATTAACAACTACGAGATGCAAAATGAACAGCCTGATTATAATACAAGAATCACCAAGCTAAAATCAAATCGTTTTAGGACTCTAACTTACACTGGGTCACCACATTATAATTTTGTAGCAATGTAAAATGCTCTACCTAGAGCTTTGAGGGATATTCATATGTACTGTAATTTTGAAATAATGGTTTTCGATTATTTAACTAATAGATGTCTTTATTCTATTGACGAATTTCTAAATTGTGGATGTCAATACCGTTAAAATGGATCTTTTTAAATATCGTTTTTCACATAATTTTTAATTTTGTCAATTATTTCAATGTTCTATAACATAGTTTCAAATTTAAATTCATATTTCATTAATGTATCTTCGGATGACACATTTTTGTTTTTTCTTTTTATGTTCAATCTTTTTTGTGACTTGCCATTTGAACATGTGTATGTATTTTGGCTCAATATTACTACTACTATTCTACCTGAAGATAGTCCAAAAAACTATTGACAGGTTCCGAAAAACTGTAGTACTTTAGCTTTTTTCAGATTATTTCACGGGTCTCTTTAAGCTTCTGATATACAAGTAGAATACTTACAGTTGATAGGTGTGCTCGAGGAATCGAAACTAAAGAACTTATCGTCTGGATTTTTCTTCGCTTTGCTCTTGAACATGTACTTAATTTGAGTTTCCGAGTTCAGCACGTAACAAATCAGCAGAATCAAACCCTAAAATGGCGAAATAACAGTTAAATCTGCAACTAACTATAGTAATGGTCTATTGCTGCATCTGCACTTAGAATATCGATTTATACTTACTAGAAATACATTGTAGATACTGAACTGATATATGCTCCATAATTCGTTTGGATAGTTAATATAAACCATACTGCTGACAGAGGACAAAGTGACAGCACTGAAAATGAACCCAGACCTCTTCAGTAGAGCTACACGTTTCTCTATAGGCTTTTGTAGCTTGTCATGGACAAACAAAAGCTCGTTCAATTTCGTCATGACAACGATGTACAAGAAAATGAAGAGGATCGTCATAATAGACATGACGGTGACGAAAATGTTGAATGCCAAACTACCAGTCACCATCCACCAAGAGTTTAATCTTATTTCCATTGTTTTATAAACTAGGTGGCTGCCAAATACTGTTATCACAGGAACTCCTGAAATGAAATATAGTGAACATATCATCCCTTTCTGGTGAAGCTTTGGTCTGTAATGTTTGAAGTTGTGAATATGTTTTTTCCATAAAAATTACCTGAAATGATGCCAATAACGGTATACTTCGACACAACTGGTCTTGGTGCTTGTATAATCTCTGTAAACACTATCAAAACCTTGCTTAAATGACTGGACATTCCCAGCAGAAAAAACGCTTCCAGAGATGTCAAAAATAACATGAAATGATTCTGAAATAGAACATAAAATCAAATAGATGCTTTGCTATCACTGATATTGACAGGGTACCCAATATATAACTGACTGTTGTAGTAGTTGTTTGAAGCACATGTGTTCAATTCATCATGGAGCGCTCCACGACCCTACAACGCGTCCGTATTGTTAAAACGTTTAACTTAAATAATGATTCGATTGTTGCAACGATTCGGCGGCTACGACAAGACTTCGGACGAAATAATGTACCCAGTGCCAACACCATCCCTCAGTTGTGGCGGAAATTTTAACAAACAGGTGAAGTTAAAGACTTGCCAAGGTCGGGCCGTGTTCGAACTGTTCGTAGTCCGGAAAATATCGACAGAGTTCGTGAAAGTGTAGTGGGGCGCCCTGAGACGTCTACCAGACATTGTTCTTAAGAACTGGCACGACATTATGCACTATTTTAGAAAAGGCCATTTGCGACCATACAAAAATCAGTTAACCCAAGAACTACAGCCTAGTGGTCATGAAAATACAGTCATGGAAAATTGCAGCTTAATATCCAAAATAACGATTTCTGCCCACAACTCATATTGAGCGATGAAGCCCACTTCGATATGAACGAATTTGTTAATAAGCAAAATTGTCGTATCTGGGCATTAGAGAACCCTCGTGTGATCCATTAACGACCACTACATCCTCGTCGAGTCACAGTTTGGTGCGGTGTTTGGTATGGAGGTGTCATTGGACCTTACTTCCTTTAAGACGCTGCTGGTTATTCTTTTAGACCCGTATCGTCAGTCGTCCCTACAATTGTAGGGCGCGTTTATGGCCTCCTTGATTGTCATACTCCTTTCTCTCCTTCAAACATTTCTAGATTACACTTGTCCCGTGTCAGCGTCAGCGCTCTCGCATTGTGAAGATATGTTTTCTTTTTAAATTGTAGGAAATTTGAGGCTGATAAAACATGTTATAACTCAAAAGCAAGCACAATTTGATGCAAATGAACGTATTTTATTTCATTTGACAAATATTCAAGATACAAACCAGTCAGTTACATATCGGCCACTCTTTATTAAAGATCTGTAAATTTTAGATTATGTACCGTCAATATGAAAGATAAACCTTAATTCATCTACAACTTTCTAATCTTTTGCGATTATGGAAAACTGACACATGCGAATTCTTAAACAAGATTCTTCTTAGGTGATTCTCTTTTTGAATCTTTTTCACTATCAAGATAAAACTTCATGTCACCAATCGGAAAGTATCGAAAATGCTTATAAAGGGTGTCTCAATAAGAGTGCCGGATTTGATTTTCAAGAAAACAACACAATTGGTTTTCGAATTAAGCGAGCATTTATATTTCAACATGAAGTACGTAGAACGAAACCTCTGGCAGAGGGTCAGTCTTTTCTTAAAATTCCGGATAACGTTTTCGCACAACTGTGGCTCTATTTCGTCGATAACGCGCCGTATCTGTTCTTTAAGGAGTTCAACTGTTTGTGGTTTGCTTGCATACACCTTTTCCTCCACACTGCCCCAGACGAAGAAGTCCCTTGGCGTTAGATCGCACGATCTTGGTGGCCAATTTTGATTGCGTACTGTGTGTGGCAAGTCGCAGCGTTTTTCTGGGTTCTTTTGGGTGTGGATTAAAACTCTGGATTCCACAAAAATAAATGCACTAATTTATTTAACATGATAGAATATTTTGTACACCACTATCTATGGCTGACTAACTGCACTAAACTCCACTCCGTTCTGCTACTCTACCCTATTCAGTACCCTGCTTCCATCTTCCGGCCGCCGAGTTATATATTGTAAGAAACGAAAAATTTTGGCGAGCCGCTGCCGGTCACGAAGGGGTACTGCTGTGTAGTTGCTGCTCTGTGATAGCTGAGGGAACGACGATCGACCGTCGACTCTGGCAGAGCGAGCTGTAACGTCGAGCAGTGCACATCGTGCTCGGATAATCTGCCGCTCCGAAATTACGTTAAATCGTTGTTCTATTATTATTGTTGTTAATACAAGTTGATTGATGGAAAATCAGTGTTTGACCATCCCTGTTTCTACTAATATAGTCCCATTGCTGCTTCGAGAAAGGTCTGGTGAGCCACAAAGCGGCATCTAGAATATTGGAGGTCACTTCGCGTCGATCTAGAAGGTGAGTCACTGCCACGATCCTCACAGACGCCGCCAAGCTCTGGCGAGTATGAGACTCGCCCAACAGATGGCGCCAACAGTACTATTTGTCACAGAATATATCCTACACATCAATTTGTTTCAACTGGGGCCACAAAAACTCGGTTAACATTTCGCGATACCGCACACCATTAACAGTTACCGCAGTTCCAACTGCATTTTTGAAGAAATTCGGTCCAATCACTCAGTCACTCCACAATGCGCGCCAAACGGTTATTCGATTATTACACGAGGGCTTTCAGAACCCCAAATTCATCAGTTGAAAACGAGCCTCATCAGAGAAAATGATTCTCTTCGAGAAATCCGCATCAATTTGTTGGTGCTCCAGCGCACATCAACGAATTCACGGCGCATGGACCGTTGACTTGAGTTCTTGCGTCAGTTGAACCTTGTATGCAAGCATAGATCTTTTGTCAAAATTCGTTGCAGAGTGGGTCTGGTAAGGTTCAATTTTTGGCCACGATAGCGAAATGCCTGGATTCTCGGCCACACTTTCCCGAACTGTATATATGTATATTTTCGAGTGATCGACCAACAGTGGTCTTCACATTCAGAAACCTGAATTTTGTCTCAAATTTCGTAATTAAACGGCGAACCGTCGACTAGCGCACTATTGCGACCGAAAGTTGTACATAATTTGCGAACTGTTTTCTCTTATTTTTTTCCATTTTTGTAGTGAGTTTTTACAATAATTAAACGTTGCTCGTTTGAATACTGCTCCAGGACGCCTAATCGCGTGCCCTGGACATGACAGCTGTCATCAAGTAAACACCATACCATTTGTACAGAAAAATGACGGAAAATTTAAATCCGGTGCTCGTGTTGAGACACTCTTTATTTAGAAAAAGCAACATAACTGCACCAATTAAGTTTTCAGTTGAACAGTGCAGTATTGAAGATTGGTGAAGGAACGGACAATTAATATTTTTTTTATGTTTTTTCATGATGACAATCACTTCCGCGGAAAAACATCTTGGATAATGTGATAATTTATAAAAATAGTTTATAGGACCATCTTCCACACGTACACTTTCAATACTCTAATCATTGACATATGGTCGGAAGATGCTGTGGCAGTAAGGCTAGAAGTCCAAGTTTTTCATACTTAGTGAGCTAATGTTGTCATCTTCAAGGACAACATTTGAAAAGTTGTCAAGTTGAGTTGAATTTCTTCCAAAAACGAGACCTTTCAGGAGAAACGGTACCTTCAAACTATGCTATTTTGAAGTACAAATTAAAGATTTTTTATTTTCTATAATTTTGAACATTTTGATGAGAATCGTCCACAACAAAGCGAAAGGACATTGAATTCATACAAAAAAATCAAATTCCGAAAGTTAGCAATAAATATACGAGTATAATGCCCTGTGACTTACCTGGGGAGGTCCTGTCGTGATAGCAATCAAAAAAAGCAGCCCAACCACAAACACGGAAAGTGAACACTGCAACTTCAATGCCATCACACAGGATTGTCTGGCTAACCAAAATGAAACTGTCAGGCAAAGAGTTGTGGATAGAGTGAGCACAATGCACAAGGAACAGCCTACTATCAAGATTAACTTCCTGGGATCGTTCTCCTCATTTGCAGGCTGGAATATTTTGAAAAATTGGTGTTAGATCTGAACTTTTTGTGTGTTAACAGTTGCAGCTTTGTTTTTTATGACTTCGTAGAGAAAGCCCATGTGGGTTACAGGCTTGTTTTTTTGGCTAATCTCAACTAAAAAAAGGAATGTAGGGTATCACTACAGTTTGGATAAGTTGCTTTCTATTCATTAGGCTCTTAGCGTTCCTTTGGGCGCTTTATCGAATGTCAAAGTATACAGGGTGTTTATTTGAAAACTTCCCACCATGGTTTTATCGGAAACCACAGATTAAAAGAACAAACGACGAGACACGTCAAAGGATTTGTCAAAGGGGACAACTTTTTAACCAAAAACTATTTTATCCCCTTTCACCCTCGCCCCCCCGGGTCATTCACTTAAAAATTTTAAGTGGCAAGGGTATCGAGTAATAGCTTGTTTAAAAAGTCTTTCGCAGTCCTTGACGTTTGATTTGTTAAAATCAGTCGATGCGTTTTCGGGAAAATTAGAAAAATCTTTATTTATGTTAATTTGTTCAGATAGAAAGCAAAAACACATGAAAATATCACTTTTTGTTTCAATAAGTGTTCAAAATGTTGCCCGTTAGGATTTGCCAAATCTGCAATTCGTTTAGGTATAATTTAAAACGGAAACTACCAATATAATCGGAAGATTAGACGTGGCAACAACCAAATAACAACCCGAATTTTTTTCCGCATTATTTGCATCAACACATATCCTGGGCGAACTGTATTTATTGTTATACCTGTTTAGTTATTTGTTGCTAAGGGAAAGAAAGAATTTAATTTGTTGTCATTTACCTTTGACAATCCTGGGATAGTGAAAATTAATTTATTGATAAGATTTTATCTAAAATGTTTTACACACTATCCGAAAGAATGGAAATGATTCTAATTTATGGTGCCTAAAATTCGGGTAGATAACTTTGCATAGGTATGTTTTGGATCTTGTTACTAAATTTACTCAAACTGGATCTGTTGCAAATAAAAAACGTGATCGTCGGAGAGTTTTGGATGAAGCCACTCAAGTTGAAGTTTTGGGTCATTTTGGAATAAATCCTAATACTTTTTTACTCAAAATTTTTGCTCCGACTGGTATTTCATCAGGCTCTGTACAGTTACTCCATAAATTTCATCAATTCAAAATGAAAATATTGCTATAGTTAACCGAAGATGATTTCGATAGGCAAGTTGAGTTTTGTGAACAAATGACTGCAGCGATTAATGATAATACCATTCATGTAAAGAATATCTGCTTCAGTGACGAATGCACATTTTATCTGAATGGATTAGTTAATAAGCATAACTGCATGCTTTTGTAGAAGGGCATACCTAGTACCTCCAAAAAATTAATATATGGGCAGGCTAAACGTGGAAGTTTTGTGTAAAAAATCGTAAGTTTTTTTTTATTTAACATGCAATAAAACATTATTCAATTGGATATCTGAATAACCCTTTACATCAGTATTTGCAAACAACTATTTTTTGGACAATTGGAAAGGCTATTTAATAATTTTCACGGAAAACCTCAATGTTTGAAGCCCTACGGTTACTGCGGTATGATCTTTTTCGTATTCATGCTGAAATGCCTCAAAACGCCGATAAATATCATTATACAATAAATATGGATACCGGGAGTTCATACATTTTAGATCTACCACAGTGGCTATTAGGGTGTGAATGGCCAAAGTTTATACCATTTGTAATATTTTGATCAGAATGATCAGTAATCTCACATAAAAACGATATAGATAGAATCTGGTTCTATCGTTAATAAATTATTCAATTGCTGTTTACTTTCCTTGTCTTGATTACGTGGCTAGATATCGAGTACAAAAAATTCAAAATAGCTGCTGTAGGTTCGTTTGTGGTCTGCGAAAGTTTAGCCATGTGTCTAAGAAGATCAATGAGCTTAGATGGTTGAGGGTTGACCAGCTTTTCACATATATCTTACTAATTTTAGTACAACGAATAAAAATCAATAGGCTACCTAGTTATCTACTAAAAAGGCCGGTACCACAAGGGGATCTCAATTACAGGAATCTGAGACATAACTCTGACTTCCATATGCCTAGTTATAGGAGCAACATTTTCCATCGTAGCTTCACCTACAACGCTGTCAAGGTGTACAATAGTATTAATGACAATTACAAAAAGATGGGAATACTTGCTTTCAAGAGAGCCATTAAGAATCACCTTCTGGGGTCTGCTAGCCAAGCTGGCTGATATATATATTTTTTGTCTTTATTGTTTTTTTTTTGTTAGAGCGGGCTATGTGGAATAGATTTACAACATATTAAGATTAATCTATTTAAGCTTAATTACTGTATATATTATTTAGTCGATTGCTATTCATTGTTATGTTTTTCCTTTTGTATGTGTTCCTGCGCTGTGAGGTTAAGTGGTAGAGTAGCCAGCTGGCTAAACTTCGCCTCGCAGTGTGGAGGGATTAATAAAGACATTATTATTATTATTATATAAAACTATTTTAAACCGTTACTAGTGCTAGAAACCTTAGACCATAGACCTGGAAAGTAGTTGATCAATTTGAATTCTGGAGACTACCTATTTATTGCTTTACTATCATTACTTTCATTATTCTCATCAAGCCGAGAAAGTCGTTTGAAGATAGCTTGTGACTAATTCAATTTCAATAAAAAGTAAAAAACTTAATAAACATTACAATCATTCTAGGCAGTAGCGGTGGCCGCAGTGGCAGGCTCTTCGGTCTCCTGATCAGTCGCCGTGCGCTGCGCGGGTTCGAATCTCGTCCTAAGAGAAATTTTTCTCTTAGCTATGGATGTTGTGATTGTTCGTAGGTGATAGACGGTCTCTGACTGTTGAACGCGGAGGTACCACCCGGCGGATGTCGTAGGCGAGGCCAGAATGTATGCATGTTGCATGCACACGTGTTCCCTCGCCAGACTCCGTGTGGCGTCCCCCCTTTCCCCTGTATCCCCCTATAGCCCCACGGTATTTAGGGCCTTAGGCCTTCGTGGTAGTTGGAGTATAAAAAAGGCATATTACTGAACAAACTGATTGAGCCATTGTTTATTAATGGAAATTTGAATAGAGACATTTATTTGGATATATTGGAAAATACCATCAATCCGTTTATTACTGAAACTTGATGAGGCTGAAATATATTTCCAGCAAGACGGCGCTCCTCCTCACTATGTTCTTCCGGTTTGGCAATGGCTAGACGACGAATGTCCAGATAAATAGATAGAGCGAAGAGGGCCTATGGAATGGCTTGCTAGATCTCCTGATTTGACGCCATTAGACTTTTTTCTAGGGGGTCATTTGGAATATACTACGTTTACTCCCCAACCTGAGAGTTTGGATGAACTTCGTCAACGCATCATCGAAAGCTGCCATGATATCCCACAACATGTTTATGAAAATGTCTTTTCTACTTTTCTTGAAAACGAATCGACCGATTTTAATAAATCAAACGTCAAAATAAAGGACTTTGAAAGGCCTTTCAAGCGAGCTATTACTCCATAACTCTTGTCACTTAAAATTTTTAAGGGGATGCAAGGCGGTGACGTAGTTTTTGGTCAAAAAGTTTTCCCCTTGACAATTTTTTTGACGTGTCTCACAGTTTTTCTTGTTAATGAGTGGTTTTCGATAAATCCGTGGTGGGAAGTTTTCAAATGAACACCGTGTATATTTTTTATAAGTATGTAGTACGTCGCAGAGGCAGCTTTGGTGGCATGTTGTCAGATATATCACGATAACGGACGCTCCTAGGGAATGTAGTTTCACAATCACAAGTTTCATGATCTAAGTAATTTGATGTTATACCTGTCGTGGTACTAGAGTCAAAAGCAAGGCAAATATCCCACTCTTAGAACAGATGCACCTGGTCTTCTCCTCATTCAGCATTTCAGTATGACAGCTGTAAATGTCCCAGGTATACGTAAACGTCGCCGCGTCTGCATATCCACATTTGACTGTCCATGTTTCGTCATCACTCCAGTTCATGTTACTGTGCAGCTCATGCTTGAAGTCTATGGCTATGGGGTATATATCCAGGTCTTTGGGAAGAGTCAGGATTGATATAATCTGTGAGTAGAGCTCGTACTCGAGTTCTGATCCATCTCTGAAATATAACACATTTCAGAGTAATCCATTAAGTTCTGAATTATCTGTAACCTCTATTGTCGTGTCGTCCTTATGCGTTATTTAAGTCTTAAGCTATTGGAAGTTGATGTATTTTACCTTAGTCTCAAAAACGATCGGGGCGGCATAAACCTGCTAAGGTTACGAAAAATCACAGCATTTGCAAGTCTTGAAGTTAGAAGCATATGGTTTTTATTTTTTGTCCCTGAAAACTGAACAGTACTCCAGCTTTTCGATCTGGAAATAAAAAAAAACATCGCTTAAAATATGCGCTTTCAACTCGGATACCATTGGTTATGTAGAAAACATAGATAATACCTATTCTACCTAAAATATATATTAATGCAAATTTCGTACTTGTTTTGAGTCAGGGGTATCGTAGGAATGTGAAAATAGTTCTCGTGGACATTCAATGCGGATATGTTCACCAAGGTTACGTCTATAGTGTTTTCTGACATCCTGTAATACTTAGTGATGTTGCTGGTCAAAAAGCCTATCGCTATATTGTAAAAATGGCTGTTGAGTAGCTCTAACACCAACCTGATACCCTAAAAAGATACTATATTTAGTATGTTGAGACTGTATGGATGATTATAAGCTTTGCTGCAAGGTGCATTGAAAATACTAAAGTAACATGAATTTAACACTAATTTTAATAAAATACAGGAATGCATGGTACTTACTGGTGACTTTATTATGGAACCTGGTACTGATAATATGTGATCAATTATGGAAAAGATAATACTTGTAACGTTAGTTAAAGCATCTCCAGGATGCACGAACTCCAGATAGTTGACGACATTGCGAGTTAATGCTAAGATTTTCGCCCCTTCACCAGGTAGAATATTTGTACTGTTTCTCTTCAGATATGACAGGAATCCTCGGAGAACATTAATAGGTGCTGTGTTCATATATCCAAGTTGGTAGCTTTCAAACTAAAAATGTATGAATTCGTTGTTCGTCAATGGATTTTACACACTATAATCTAAACATATTATACAATTCAATCATTTCCGTGTCAATTTATTTTCCCAAATTGTACTAACCTGTTCATAAATGACATTAACATATCTATGTGTGCATCCGCTGTAATCGGCCGAGCTCCATTTTGCTGTTTTGCCATCTCTTAGTTCACAATATCTACAAAAACAATTAATTGGGGTTAAATTACACTGATAAACATATGACAATTTTTAGGTCTATCTTTTGTATTTTGAAACCATTAAATCAAATCTAAAAACATGATTTTTCTATCACCCACAGATATTCGGTAACATCTACTTTTATGAATTACCATACCTAACATCTCATATTGCTGCATTCCTCGGCGTTTATGCGATGACGCATGATGATGTCTATTCCTGTTTATCATATGCAAGCTCTATGCTTAGAGAGCATATTGCGTTTATTAGTAGACTAATAGCAGCCGAGTCAGTTACGTCTTCTGTGTTGAAGGGTACTGAGATGTTCTGAGTACTGTTTATTTTTGTTAAAACGGTGTGTTGTTTTTAGTTTACTGTGATCGAGACTAGCTTCATGGATAATGCTTAGAAATTGTGTAAATAGTACGAACAGTTTTTGTTCGGAGAGCTAACTTTTAAATCCCAAAAACGTACTTTTACTCCCCTTGTGTTGAAAGCATACGAACTTTATTTTGGAATTAAAGCTGGCGACCAAGATAATTTATGGGCTGCTCATATATGTGTAAGACTTGTGTAACGTTTTCAGCAGGTCGGTTAAGAGGCGACAATCGTAAAATGCCCTTTGCGGTACCAATGGTTTGGAGAGAACCGAGAGACCATACTACTGATTGCTTTTTTTGCCTCACAAATATTAAAGGTATTGGACGAAAATCAAAACATACTGTTAAGTACTTTAATTTATCATCAGCTTTGCGGCCCGTTAAGCATAGTAATAAACTTTCTGTCCCACAATCTTGGTCTTTGGATGAAAAAGTCGAATCCACCGATTCTGAAAGTGATGGGTCAGAACGCGTAAAAATTTCCAATCCTTCGTTTGGCCTGCCAGGATGTTCAATAACGCCTCATTTGATCACACAGGGCGAACTTAATAACTTAGTTCGGTAATAAAATCTGTCAAAATCCCAGTCAGAACTTTTAGCGTCAAGATTAAAAGGATGGAATCTTCTCCACGGTGATGTTAACATCACTTTTTACCGAAAATGGCAACCAGACCTTACACACTGTTTCCGTCAAGAAAGGGATTGATATATTGCTCCGATGTCAACAATTTGTTTGACGCGTTAGAACAGAAACATGATCCAAACGACTGGCGCCTGTTCATCGATTCCTCTAAGCGGTATTGGTACACAGCGGTAATAAATATCCACCTGTACCTATAGCGCACGCAGTTCATATGAAGGAATCATATGAAAACATGCGGGTTCTGTTAGAGCATATCCGTTATAATGAATATGGAAGGGCAGATTTAAAGGTAATAGCTTCTTCTTGGAATGCAACTGGGATATACAAATATTGTTGTTTTCTTTGTGAATGGGACAGTCGTGCGCGAAATCGTTTATGAACAGAAGGAGTGGCCACTACGTCAGGTATTAATTCCGGGCCTCAAAAACATTGCTCATGAACCACTAGTTGATCCCAAAAATGTGTTGATTCCACCTTTGCATATGAAGTTAGGACTGATGACAATCTTTGTGAAAGCTATGGATCGACACGGAAGAGGTTTTCTGCATTTAAAACAAACATTTCCGAGACTTAGTGAGGCAAAAATTAAAGTGGGCATATTTGTGGGTCCACAAATACGGAAAATCATGAAGGATGATGTCTTTGACAGTGCTCTAAATGAAACTGAATTACGAGCTTGCAATGCTTTTGAATCAGTTACTGCAAATTTTTTAGGCAATGTGAAGGCGGACAATCATAAAGATATTGTCAGTGAACTAATTAATGCTTATAAAGGAATGGGATGTAACAAATTACTTTTTGGATTCTCATCTCGATTTAGGTGGGGTAAGTGATGAACATGGTGAACGGTTTCACTAAGACTTTTCTGCTATGGAAAAACGGTATCAAGGCAAATGGAGTATCAATTTGCTTGCTGGTTATTGCTGGACATTGTTAAGAGATACTTCAGGAGCAACATACCGCCGCAAAACATCGAAGACATTCTGAGATTAATGTTTACTTGAGTGTTTATCAGTACTTTTATACACCTTGGGAAAAAACATTATTATACATTATGATGAGGCAGAGAGATGGAAATATACAAAAGTATGTAGGTGCGTGAAAGACACTCGATTGTAGGATCTTATCTGGCAGCGTCGGAGTGTGACGAACAACGGGGTAAAGTAGAAGAGTGATAAAAGAGAGATGGCAGAACGGGCGCTGGCGCCTGCTGCTTAGACGGATGCGCTCAACAAATGCGATTTGTTTCTCCCATTCGCAGAGTTGCCGATACCAATATGTCATATTTCTAAGAAATCTAAGTCTACCCAAATTTCGGGAAAAATAGCTGCGGCTTCCACATAAGAGTATTCCAAAAATGAAAAAAGTTCAAACTATTAAAATTGTATTAATGTTTCATGGTTCAAATCATATTTTTCATGTTTGTATATTGTTGTATAAATGATTTTGTAATCCCTATTCTTGTTGCCAGTAGAGATACAACAGTATTGAGAGAAATCATGGACCGCTAGATAGGGCTACAACTACCATATGACTATCAAATAGTAGTGATAAACAGGGTTTGTTTATAGCACAGTTGCCTGGTGTGGCGAATTTGCGCCATAGGGGCGATTTGACAACTTTGAAGGACAACTATAACGGGTACTATGGTGCCCGGTATTCGGGAATCTGGCAATACCTGATGATTCCTAACGTTTATTACGCCAGATTCCAAGTGACTGAGCACCTGGTAACCCTGGTTTAAGGTGTTATATTTGAAGAGCTTGGGGCAGTTAGATAGGTCACATTTTTTAATGTATTTCGAGAAATCCGTAATGTTGAGTAAATACTAGATCACGTTTCTTGCTTAGTTTGCTGAAATTCTACAATAGACGTAGATTTTGAGAAACAGAGATTTGGTGACGACAAAATCGTAAAAATATAACGCATTTTCGTAAAATAATTTCTTTGTTGAAAAGACTGTGGCTTGATGACCCATTGAACGAGGATAGTGTCCCGCTCCGCTTTGAATATTCGAAACACTATACTCCAGCAGCATTCAGCTTCAATGTTATCTTTATGAAGTTCTAACGTCTAGGCCCTGCGGATTAAAAGCTTGAATGAATCAACACTTAACTCTAAATTCCCCACAATTCGGGAAGCTCTACTCAAATTGGCAACACAGCGTATCTGCCTATTATTCTCATTCGTGATACAGGTCTGCTGTCTGCTGCAAATTTCAGTATGCGTTGAGTCGATAGAAGAAGTACAGTAGATGCGGGCATTACGCACCAGTTCGATTGGACGTCCTGTGAACCGATTTCAGTGATTTCGAGATTTCACGAAATCACCTAAATCACTCTACTTATTTTTATGAATGGATAATTGGTTTTGTAGCAATAAAGGTTGCGTCTCATAACAAAAATAAGAAGATACCCACTCTAACAAAAAATAGTACACTCTTAAAAATGTGTAACGAAAATAAAAAGATAGTCTAACAAAAAAATAAGTTCTCAAAAATAAAACGCAATAATGAACACAAATGTTTCAAATGGTCCTTCACAGCTGGGGCTCAAAAACGTCTCCTTCATTCAATGAACAGTATGTCAGGCGGTTATAAAACTCCTGACGAACTCTCAAGAGTGTAGAAGGCTGTATTTGCCCAAGCGCTTCAACGATTTTCACCTGTAGGTTATGCAAATTGTCTGCTCTCTCATTGAAAGTGTAAACAGTACTTTTTACATAACCCCACAAGAAAAAATCATTGGGCACTAGATCGGGTGATCTAGGAGGCCATTTTATTGTTCCGTTACCGCCAATAATCCGGTGGCCGAACACACTTTCAAGGTAAGTGTGTACGATCGCCGCATTATGCGCCGGGCATCCATCTTGTTGGAACCAAATATTAGCGAGATCAATGCCAAGCTGCCTAATTGCAGGAACAATCTGCGTCTGTAGTAACGCCAAATATTTTGCAGCCGTAAGAGTTCCATCAATAAAGAACGGTCCGATAATGTTATTACCTAGAATTCCTGCCCACACATTCAGTTTCTGTGGATACTGCGTGCGGACGGGAATACTGAGGTGTTTATTTTCCCGAGACCAATACCCAACGACTGAAGGATTGTAATGACCGTGGAGAGGGAATGTGGATTCATCAGTAAACAAAATGTTACCAATAAAACTTCCATCCCTGTTCGCCTTCTCCATGACCGTTTCACAAAACTCCATTCGACGGTATTTGTCTAAAGGAAATATTTCTTGAACCGTTCCAACCTTGAAGCTATGATAGCCGTTGCGATGCAAAATATTTCTTGTTGTTCTGGGTGTGAGATCGGCTATTGGTACCATTTCAGCAATTTTTCTGCTTGAGCATGGCTCAGATACTTCTGCAGCGGCACAAACAGCAGTTTCGATCTCCTCCCTTTTCTCGCTAATTTTTGGTTTCCAACCTTCAGGGTGCATGCAGCTATGGCACTTATGTAAGCAGCCCACATTCTTGAATTTTTCGTAGGTATTTATAACCGTTGCGTGAGACGGAATTGGCCGATCTGGGAAGCGTACGGAAAATAATTCAACAACCGCGCGTGCTGAATTATTCTGGATGTATAATTCTATCATTTGAAACTTTTCTTCTTGCGAGTACATTTTTAAGATATTCTGGATTAAATAAAGACGCACCTTTCCTACACAAAACCCAACCGCAGAGTGAGTCATGAAACCCTTATCGCACTTGACAACGGCACGCGCGTTAACGGTAGGAAATATGTACGAATAGCGATGTACGAATAGCGATGAAAGTAGACGAGCCGATGCGCTGTTGCCAAGAAATGATTTCCCATGTATAACAATGGTTTTTCCTAAGATGTATACATATCCTTATATTTTACGAGTATAAGCAGCAAATAAAATGCCTTATTGCAAGAATACCGTGGGTGATAGAAAAAATTGAATGCTATTTCCGGCTTTTTGGGTACGTTTTACATAATAATCACCTTGTTTTGACCATGTCACAAAAGATATTTTAATTTTGTCCACTAGTGTTATTATTGATCCGATTATGTTTTTAAGAATTAGAATTGCGATAAGTTTACTGTGGACCATACTACATTTTCTTGCTGACAGTCCTTCTTTTCCGATCACTGACTAAATAAATAAGAATCGGTACACTGTCCTTTATTATTCAAACGGTTCAAAGCGGCAATAGGTACGACGTACAAATATTAGTGAGTCGGTATCCGAATATATTACACAAAATTAATTTTACCGTGTAGCTTTTCCTTTATAAACTTGGGGGCATTCTACAACGCTTTCTGTATCAGGAGCTGTTTCTGGCCAAGGTATTTGCTCAGGACATGTGCGGGAAATCTTTGGATCCACCACCTTCACCCAAACATGTCTCTCAGATGAGCCGAATTGAGATTGTACCAGACAAGAGTAATGAGCGTCTTTCTGCAAAGCAAAGTTTGGTAGTTGTGTTAAATGTGGTAAGAATAATATATGTATATTCATCTTGATGTTGTTGATATTTTTATAGTTACCTCGGCTCGCGCAACTTGAAGGATTGTACCGGACGGATAAAGTACTTCATATTTTTCTGTGTCAGTTTTTACTGGTAAGAGAACTTTGTTTTTTGTCCAACTGTAGATATACTTCTCACCCACACCATCGTCTTCTAATGTGATACACTTTATAGTGAAGTTTCCACCCTGAAACGATAAAGACAAAAGTACAAAATTAATGTTAGATTGATTTTCGAGATTTATGGGATATAGGATAAGTAGTAGTATAGTATAGTACCAGTCACGCATCTAATATTTATGTTGGTAGAGAAGTGGACTGTAATCTTTTTCGGCTTTTATTTTACTTTTACAATCCTAGCTGGTATTATTTGAATAACAATAATTGTTTTGTATGGCGTCGTGTCTGTGTGTCGACGGCTCGATCATGTCATCTTGCAATGGCGGCCACCCCTTCCTCTTCTCCTCGTCGGCGTTGGCACGTTGTGGCTGTTTTACGTGATCTGGCGGAAAGGAGCTCAACAATTTATTTTTCGTCAGATCATCTATAGACTCCAAACCCACATTTTCTTGTTCTAATTCATCCCAGTGCTTTTTGACATACTGTTGTCTGCCTTTAAGAACGTACTGAACCCACGAAGAGTACAGAGCTGTTTTGTTTTCTGGGAGCCATCTCCGATGACACTGTAATATCTGAGAGTTCAATTATCGTACTCCCCGAAATTTACAGTGCCAATCTAGTAGTCTAGTCTTCTGTACCAGTTACTACAGCTTGTTTGTCGGTGATTTTCTGAACCTTTTCGGTTCTAGATCTAACTCTCCACTCACAGAGGACATCTAAGGTTGATTCTTTTCATCTACAGAATTGTCTCTATTTTGTGCAGATGTCATATCAGGGTGTTGTGTTCTGTTAGGAGCCGTGTGACAACACTGAAAGCAGATCCGCCGCCGTTTTAGAACATGGCTTCAAGATAAATATACTAAGTGACATATAAATCCGAACACCCAGTTTAAATGGTTTTATTTTAATAAAATTTTGTATAAGTACTTAATGAAGCATAATAAGTAAATGATAAAAATTTCAAAATGATTGCACTGCTTTAAAGCCCTTTGACCTTTAATAATGTGTGGATGCACCTTGATGTGCTACGCATTCTCCAACGCGCCTAGGCATGCTTCTGATCAGGTGGTCAATGTCCTCCTGTGGTATCTCATTCCAGGCAACCACCAACTCCTCTCGAAGTGCTTCTAGAGTCTGAGGAGGACGTTGCAAATTGAGCAATCTCCTACCCATCATATCCCACACGTGCTCAATTGGGGATAAGTCGGGAGATCTTGGTGGCCATGGTAACAATGTGACATCATTATGTTGAAAGAAGTCTATTGTGACTCTTGCAACATGTGGTCGGGCATTATCTTGTTGGAAAGTTGGATCTGCCAGGGTGTCAAGATAGGGTAAAAGATGGGGTTCTAGAACTTCGTGGATATAACGCTGCGCGTTCATGTTACCTCTGATGAAGATTAAAGGTGACCTGGAACCATAAGCTATAGCACCAAAAACCATAACTCCAACAGTGTGATGAACATGTCTTTCAACAAAAAACTGTGGATTCCTCCTTTCACCACGTCGCCTTCTAACCCTGGCACGACCATCGTGCATGCCTAAACAAAATCGAGACTCGTCACTAAAGACAATACTGTTCCATTCCTGATCCCAGAGTGACCGTTGTCTGCACCACTCAAGGCGATTACGTCGGTGTTCTCGAGTTAAAGGGAGGACCCAGTGTGGCCGGTATGAAAACAAGCCAAAACTTCTCATTCGTCGGTAAACACTTCGCATGCCAATAGGTCTTCCGTGTTCTGCAAACCATTCATTTGCAATGAACCTGCTAGTGGAGAAACGGTCCCTTAAGGCCAATAATCTTAGGCGGCGATCTTCACGGTCTGTTGTTCTACGGCGGCGTCCAGTGCCCCTTGCTCTTTGCGTACGGCCTTCTCGAAGCCATGCCTGACAACACCTAACCACAGAGTCTACACTTCTTTGCACTCTAACTGCAATTGCCCGAAAAGAAAGTCCAGCTTCCCGAAGTTCCACTATACGGCCCCTATCAAACTCACTAAGTTGACGAAATCGTACAGGTCTCCGTACTCTAGGCATCGTAACCGATCGTAAAGGATGTCAAGAACGAAAATCCGCCAACGTTGATTCTTTACTGCGCCTGAAATATTCATTTTTAGAGCGTTAGTGAATTAAAAAAAAGCAGTATAAAAACCGGAATGTCCAACTGATAAGGCTGAAATTTTTTTCACTTGTTATTTACAGTAAGATAAATACATTCACCAACTTTTATTAAAATAAAACCATTTAAACTGGGTGTTCGGATTTATATGTCACTTAGTATAGATAAATTTTCTATGCAGTCACAAGATTCCAATATTCCTTGTCTTACACATTCTGTAGCATAATGGTAATATAGTAGCAGTAAAACCCATCATAAAACCAAACCAATCAAAATCATTAAAGGTAGTGTTCTAATAAGAGATAAGGAATGAAGTGCCAATTGAAAAAAAAAAACAAATAAAAATCTGTTTGATGTAAAACCTGAAATTTATCTTGTGGCTTTCATACTTATTGGATTCCATGGCTGTCAGGCCGCTAAATAAAACCACATTTGTTTGAATTCCTTTCCGCTGTAGCTAAAGACTGCTGCGTTTCTATAATTTATTAGAAAACCAAAAAAAAAGACTTATGGGAAATGGGTTTGGCTAGACTGACAGAGTAACTAAAAGATGATATGTAAGAGGACCAGTGTCGGAGCCAAGACCAATCCCTGGAGAACCTCCGCATTGACGACGGATATCTTGCGGTCAGAGAGAAGGGGGACGTTTTGGGGTTGAGGCGAAGCCAGAGAACATCCTTCCGGGATGATAGAAAAAAATGGAATAGGAAAGACTGTTGCAGACATAATCCGCAACTCCCCTACCTTCCTCAGGTTGGAATACGCCTCGTAATTTGGGAAGCTTAGATGATTAATCGGTGCAGCATCGGAGATTTTGGTCTCCCCCCCAAAAAAGCACGGCGGGACAATTAGACAGGCAGGCAGTGGCGAACATAATCAATTTGCTGTTAATCCCGCAGATGTTCGTGAAACAGATTTTATCATTGATGTTGTTCCCTAGAGTCCACCCTTCACCCGGACATTTCGAGAATACGTCCATAATTTTTAGTACTCGTGGGTACCAACATCATTAATTTCTGTGTTTGAAGGGAAAGGGAAGGTCACCGACTGCATAGCTTAGAAATGGAAAAGCGGACATTTTAAGACACCCTGGAAAAAGCTAGCGGTTGGTATCCAATCGGTCGACTAGTTTTGTCTATTACCTTCATTTACTTATTAAATGACATTAAACAGACCTGAAGTGGCCTGTTGGCGAACTTGTATCGGTACCCGGCAATCGGTACTGGGGTATTCCTTAACGCGTCTACAATCACTTAAACGAGTGTAACAACTTTCTGAACAAGCATTTGCCACGGTCCCGCTCAGTTGGGGTCAATCGAAGGGAATCGGAATTAAAATGAGTCCTGAACGAATCTAAGTAATCGTTTCCGTTTAATCAAAATCATGGAATCCTATTTATCGTTGACTCATCGTTAAACTCTGTTGATGAGCTTGATCTCAGTTCAATGCAGTTGGTGAAAAACTGGTCCAGTGATAAAGTAGCATTCATTTGAAAAACCTAACCATATAAAATAACTAGGCTATAAATCATACAAAATATTATATATTTATATTGGTTGTTGATACTGACATTTTTCCTGTTGGTTGTTGATATTGACATTTTTCCAGTTAATTACCTTCTATTCATAGAAGAACTTTGACCTGCCAGATGAAATAAACTGTACATGAATTTTCTGTAGATTAATACGTTTCGAATGAAATTTTTGCTTTGTGTGTCAAAAATGAATTCTCTGTATTCATTTATTACTAACAGGTTTTTTATAAAGCTATAAAGCTTCAACAATCAATCCAATAGTTAGTTATTGTTGATAGTCAATAAAACGTACTCTCTGTAGCATTCACATTTAAAACAAAAGGCCTAACAGAAACGTTGGTATCTATTGAAGCAAAAAGTCACATGTTTATAGGTACACAATTTTTTACATAATACCTTAATACTAGGTGTATTTTAGTGACGACGAATTGTCACAGATTTGCTTGTACGGACCACTCACGTAGAGCACATAGATTTGCGTTCACCTTATTCATTAATCTGTTAATGTCGTCCGCACAGGTATTATGAAAAAAACCTATAAAATGTCAAAAAACCTATAAATTGTCAGGTAGACTAGGTAGTTTTTAGGGTGCAACCAGTCATTCCACGTTTGCTCACTAGGATCGTTCTGGGCGTCCATTTATAGAGGAATGTCTCAACTACACGCATTGTTGGTTGCATATGCTGTGTGAAGCCGAGTAGACTGTAGTTTTCATCTCTGAGAAGAAAGTTGGTTGAATAGCAAATCAGTGATATTTGCTGTGTGAGAAAATCATTATTAAGTATGCGGCCAATGAAATATATCTATTAGCTATGCCCGATGGGTTATTTATTCCCTATTTCACGAGTAGCCATCATGGTAGAATGACAGTTGTTTATCTAGTGATATCTCAAAATTCCTCATATCTGCACAGGACACGTAATTCTGACGGATCCGTTAACGCCCGGTAGACAGAGCCGTATTTTGTTTTGTTTTTTGTGCGCTACAGATTCCTTTCGTACTTGCTAACAGCTCTGTTATTTAGGAAAGTTCTTTTCCATACAAAAAAAACAAAATGCCACAAACAAGTTTTAGTAGATTGATACCTGATTCATTATTTCCAACGTTGCAGACTAACACAAAAACGTCACTTGCTGATCAGCTGTTCACATAAGTATAATACATAAAAGCGTGATGCATACTCGTGAAATAGGGTATACATATATGTTGTCCTTTCTGGAGACAGGTTATGTTCAGAGTTATAAATTACGATCCTTTTTTTTCGTGTTTTCAAACACTTCGATGAGACTAATTTCTAGCTTTAAATTTCAAGTAAGTATATGTATTTGAGAAGAGGATCCAATGGAACTATCCTCAACAGAAAAAGCTTGTTGGTAATAACTGTATTAAGGAAAAGTATGCTAGTTGAAACACGGTATCTTCTGCACACAGAACCTTGGTAAACTGATTCCTTAATCTTTTGAGTTGGTTTGAATATTCTGGATGCATATTCTCAAAATAGACGTTAAAATAATTCTTGGAAGTCCGAAGTATTTTATTTTGAAATATCGACAATGGGCCTGCTTACCCTCAACTAAAGTTAAACGTTGAGTTTATATGTTTATATGTTCCATGGATAGTTTTTCAAAGAATCCATAACTTGGTTTTTCCGGTGGGAAGTCGTATGAATATATTGACGCTATTAATCTTTGTTTTTATGTTTCTCAGTGATGCTTGAAACTAAACCTCTGGGTTTTCAATCGCAGGTTAACAGTCATTTTACCAACCAGAAAGTTGAATCTCAAAATGTGTTTTTCAATGACAACCTTGAACCAGAGGAGCGTCCATGGGTTATCTAGTAAGCAGTGAAACCGCATTGCCTAACCCTTTTTGGATTGACAATGGCATGAGTTGACACGGCTGTTATGAGACACAAATCAAATCACGAAACGCATATAAGACGATAATTCAGGCATCAAAGCAACGTTATTGCATCAACAATTTATGGATTGTTACAAATAACTTGAGAAACGAATCCACTGACAACTGATATTCACCTTACATTGTCTGTACGTTTCTGCTCAAGATTAACATGGGCTTTTCTTACCTTTTTGACAGTTACACTCATTGGTTCCACCTTGACAGCAACCTCCGATTTGGCAACTCGAACCTTCCTTGATGCGCACTGCTGTCTACCTCCTTCAAACACTTGACATGTAAAAGTTCCAGAGTCTTTTCGATCTGCACTGGGTACTGCCAACAAAGAGGTGTATTGGTCAGCTACATGAGGGTCCTTTATCAGCTTGGTCCACTTTCTGTTACTGAAATTAAAAAATATCCATTTAATTTTAATTTCAATTAAGCTCTCCTGGGCGCTTTTTGACGAAAAAGCTTGATACGGTGTATTCAAGGTATTTAGGGTCCTGGATTGCCGAATGGTTAGCGCGTAGATCTACTAATCGGTGGCCCGCGGCACATGGGTTGGAATCTCCGCCTCGGAAGCTAGCTGCGAACGATGGATGTTGTGTTGTGTGTTGCCTATATCACGCACCAGATCGGTGCAAGATCAACATAGGTACAGCTCGTCAAGAAGTGTAGGAAGAGATCTGAATTTTTGAATAAAAAGTCACGCCTTCTCTGTCTCTAGACTAGTTAGCGTACAGTCAGGAGAAAAATTGTCAGGTGATGAAACAACTTTATTACTTATTATCTGGGAATTGTATGTATTGTTCCGAATTCGTGGGTTGAATACATATAATTTTACGCAATTTATTGTCGCCATTTATTCCTTGGTGTGATAAGAGATTTACTCGTTTATAATGCATTTTAAATCCAAATTACAACGTAAAGTTTTACCAGGATTAACTAGGAAGGTTCTAGCAAATGTTATATTCTTTATGCAACGAGAATCAGAAGAAAATAAACCTCTTTACAGTTAGTTTATCGAGTATTAGGAGGATTTCTCGCGAAATGAAATCTGTTGGAGAGACGAAGAGCCACCCCGAAATCTGATTTCGACGACTTTGATACAGGATTACTTCGTCGATTTATAATGAATTTTTACATAACGGAAAAGAAGGTTCCAACTTTGTGGCGTATACACAGCAAATTTGCTCAAGAAGCCAATTACACTGGATCACATGAACTCTTAAGGAAAGTGACGAGGACAATGATATTTCGTTGGAGGAAGGCAAGAACTAATAGAAGACTTCTTATGGAGAAACCAGGGATTCAGCATCTCAGGAGAAACTTTCTGAGAAGGATGAAAGAATATACAGAAAAAAGTCGTCCTATAATTTAAATGGACCAAACCAAAAAAGAGTTGGAGCGATAATGCCAATGAGGGCCTTCACAGGCCAGTTTCAAAAGGACATAGATTTACTATTCTGCATGCTGGTAGTAAAAATGGTTTCGTGGAAAATGCATATCTGAAATTTAAATCCAATAGTAAGTTGGGTGATTATCATAGTGAGATGAACTATAGTAACTATAAAAAATGGCTTCAGGATAAACTGATTCTTAACCTACCACCAAATAGTGCTTTAATTATAGACAACGCTCCGTACCACAATGTTCCGATAGATAAATGTCCTACTATGTGCTCTAAGAAGGACCATATGAAAGAATGGCTAAGGCAAAAAACATACATTTCGCTGAAATGTTGAAAATTGATTTGTATAGCCTTATCAAAATGGATCAGCCGGCATATATAACTTATGAAATAGACAGAATAATGGCTGACAGAGGTCACTCTGTTTTAAGATTGCCACCATATCACCCCAACTTGAAACCAATTGAGTTGGTATGTGCATTTTTGAAACAATATGTGGCTGAGAGAAATGTAGATTTTAATCTCAAGACTGTCGACAAACTTTGTGACGATTTTTTCTCGTCTTATACCACAGAAGAATGGAGAAAGCGATGTGAGCAAGCCAAACATGTTGAGAAGCAGTATATGGAAATGGAACCAGCACTCGACTTAGTTGTGGATCAAATAATAATAAACCTAGACGAAGATAGCGATAGCAAAATCGAAGATTTAAGTTTGAGTACTAGCTCAGATTCCGATTCCGAACTTTCAGGATTTGCTCCTATGTGAAACTTCATAAATCTTTAAAATATTGCCAACTGTATCTACTACGATGTTAGTTTTTTGACCTTACTTTTAATTTGTTTGTTTATTAGTTGAAATTATTAAAAATTAAAAATAGAATGAGTACCTACCAATCAATTTCAGTCTTGTAGCTTCATAGTGTACAATACTTATCTTATGGAATCAACTGTTTTGGTTTCCTTTTGACACATGCCAACAAATTCGCTTAAAAAAAGCAAGCTCCACATAATACGGATTCCATTATTGAAATTATTTGACTTAGCACGCAAGCTGCATCACTCGAGATCGAGTGGTACGTATTGTACGCTCTCGTGTGCGCATTCCCAACAAATCCTCATGTCTCTTCCTACACTTGACGAACTGTACATAGCTTTGCTGGATCTGGTTTATTCAATCATCAAGTAGATAGCTTATGGAGTAGTACAGTGTTGGTACCACGGAGTTGGCAAAAAGAGTCAAAGGTGACTCAGCTGCCAGGCTCTTCCTCGCCCTCACTACTACTGCTACTACTACAGGGTACTTTATTGGGAGAGGAAGATATTTTAACCGTAGATAGATGTTACTGTGGTCATTATCTTTGGGTTGTTGCTGTTTACAGCCTTATAACCGAGACACAGAGAGCTTTACATATTTTGTGTGGCCTCACAACTATTTAACCACTCTTTATATTTTTCTCAAACTTGGTACTCGTACTCAGCTTCTGCCATGGAATCGACTACGATACAGATAGGACAATAAATATAAGACTCAACTAGTTAAAATTTGACAAAATGGTTTTACAAGAAACAACTCGCTGTATATTGGAATTTCTGAAATTTATTCACCTGTTTGAAAAGAGCACGACTTCAAGACCGACCCTTATAACTACAGTCCTATTGCTGTGCTTTCTGTTATAAGTAAGGTGAAGGAGAGGTGCATAAATCGGGAGCTTCAGGAGTATCTGGAACATCACAGCTTGATTAGCGACAGGCAGTATGCTTCCCGGCACCAGTAACCCACAGGGGAGCTCATAGCTTACGTCACGCAGCTGTGGAGTAAAATCATTATGTCTTATGGTGAGGTTCATTCTGTGGCCTCCCAGAGAAACCTTGCAGACTCTTCCCAGAACGTCAACGCGGGTGTTTCCCAGGGATCTGTCTTGCTCCTCTTACATATCAACAATCTCCTTTCCTGTACGGTCAATCTAATCAACAGCTTTGCTGATGACAGCACTCTATATGCAGGAATTCAGAGTGACAAGCCGATCTCTGCCGGCGAGCTGGAGAAAAGACGACCAGCAGCGACTTCCTCTCTAATGAGAGACATGCTTGGGGTCGCAGCAGTCTTGTACAGGTTAATGCTTCTAAAACACAGCGCTGTGCCTTGACGAGCAAAAACGGTTCTAGCGCTCATCCGGTTCCGATGGATGGTCGAGTTCTATCAAAGAGCAGTTTATTTTGGCTGGTCAAATTCCGGATCACCGAGGACTTCATCTGGCATGAGGATATTACGTCAATAGCGGCAGCTGCTAGAAAAATGCTAGGCTATTTCTTAAGGTCTAAAAAGTACTTTTCTCCACATGACCTCCTGATTCTGTACAAGGCCTAGATACTACACTATTCATGCTGGATGCTATTCAGAGGAGGGCTGTCCAACTGGTCGATGACTGTTCTCTAACGGGTAGACTCGGGACCGTTTCACACCTGCGGGCCGACGGCGATCTAGTTCTTTTCTACTATTTGTCATTATTCATCAGAGCCGTCCGGTGGACCTTTGCTCATAGTTAAAGCTCTTTTCCATCAGTACATCAACGGGCTTTGGTCGTCAGAGCTCTCATCCATTACATGTTGCCACTGCACGATGCGCCTGCCAGACAGACCCGCCTGACTCCGGCCTCCAATCCTAATCGAGTCGAAAGTCGCAAATCCAGAACTGGCCGATTCGACTGCTCCATTGTCCTTAGGGTATCGAGATTGTGGATCAACCTACACGAGGAGGCTTTTTTCAGTTCTAATAACGGTTCACCCACCTTTTTTTAAAATCTGTTTTGTTTTGAAATTATAATGCTTTTTCCGATTATGCGTGCGAGACAGATTCCGGTCACATTCATATTTCTGTTTGAGAGGATATGGCCCAATTGTTTGACGTATTTTTTCATCAGTTGAATGGACTATAGATTATATATTTTTGCCCCAAATATGCCTATGCACAATAAATCTCCGAGAGTATTGTTGCATTGGCAATAATATTTGTCACTAGACGACCAAGCGGCATTGCAGACCGTTTTGAAATTCCAAATATGCTCGGCGAATTGCAAAAAAAAATAATTTGAACCGGATAATGGCTACGTATAATGACGTGGTTACCTATGCGCACCAACCCACTGTACCGACGCGGCGTCAAAAAAAGTAAAAAAATCTCAAAATGTGCGAATGATAAATTTCAACGGATACTGGGTAGAATATACGTGTACTCGCGGGAATGTTATGTAAAATAACGTCTGGTTAGAGTGCTGTGGGAAGTTTTATGTTTTTAATGGAGTTCGTTTTTATATCTGAACAAACAGGAAAACATGGGACTATTCTGTATTTCATATTGGAGGAATGGGCTAATATTTTAGAGATGTAAAGTGGAACCTGAGCCAGGCACGTTTTTGCTTTGTGGCAGAGCAGTTGCTCCACGGGTGTCCTATTGATGCGCGAATCCATTCTGAAAGAGCTTCGGCTTTCATTGGCTATTTAGAGCAATATATCGAGAATTGAATTGACAGAATCAATGACATTTTATGGGAAAGCAACTACAGTAAATAAGTAGAAGGATAAGGATATGGAAAAAGATTGATTTTTAGGTAAAAGCGGCTCACCTAGGTCAGACAGCAGACTGTTACAAGCGATCGTTAGCAAACTTCCAACAGTATTCAAAACTGATAGAACCCGTGAAATATATATGTCATCTCCGTTGCAGCACAAATGAAACAGTGACTGGTGGTCCCTTTGATCTGGGTGTTATTAACTATTTGATAGCTACAATTATTTTTCTCAGGAGGACCAGTACAAACATATCAATTTCCTCTCTAAATTCCTTGAAAGCCAAATAAAAAACAGCTCCGACAGAAAATATCGTGGAAATGTGTGAACCCCCAAAAACCCAAAAACTGTTTGAAGAGCGGGAGAAGACAAACTGTCCTTGCGGCAGACAAATCTCAAACATCCTACCAGAAGCTTCATG